AAATTAATTCTGCGCAAGAACTCGTTTTTTTTTTTACTGAATTCGGTATGCAAATTTAAGCTTTTCTTTCTTCCTAACTCAATATTGATTTTGAATCCTTCTTGAGATGTAACAAAATCGTTTTCAATCTCCAGTATTAGCATTTTAAAATAGAATACAACAACTGTAAAATATACAAATAGTAATGCTATTTAAATGATTAACATATCAAATAAATACTATAGTAATAACATCTTTTTAGTAGAAGTCAGTGGCAGTTTGCGACCGGTGTTGAAAATCTACTGTTTTAGATTCGCAGCTGCAGCTGATTCTTCGTATGCTCAAATAAGGATTGTTTAAACGGGCGCAGAAGTAGGTGAATCATTGTGACGCAGATGAGCGACGTTTTCGTGCCCAAATAAGGCAATTATTAAAATAACCACCTAACTTTTATTGCTTTTTATCAAACGCGCAAATATATGAAATTAAAATTGAATATACAATTTTAATAATCCATAAATACAAGAAATTATTTATAATTACTACTTATTAATTAAAATCTTTACTATTTTCGTATAAAGTATTTATATTAATACACGATATACAAGTGAATTACTTTGCAAGTAATGCTACTAAATGTATTATTTTAAATAGTTGTTCTGTAATTTGTAAAATAAATTTAATTTCTCTCAATAGATCTGAGAAACGCAAATTTGTGCTTGCCCATTTTCTTTCCGATTGGTTTAGATTTGGAAAAAAAATATCCGTTAACAAAAAACTTTGCGGGCTGACCCGAACGATAGAACCAATAAAATGGTGAATAACGAAAAAAAACCTGACGTTGCCGATCCCACGTTTAGCATTTGGCGATATGATTCGCAGCTCCAACTAAATTTTTTATGACTCTCTTATCTGGTGTTCGAAATTCCTTCTTTTTATGGCCCAATAAGTATAGTTTAAACGTTTAAATCAGATGTGATTCGTCGTGTCTCAGACACAATGGCGATAAAATATTTGAATTAAAAAATACATATTTTCTTATTATGTTGCCGACACTCGAATAAAATGTTTGAATTAATATCTATTAAAATATAAATAATATATAGATAATTATTATTTACAATTTTAAGCAAGATGTTATGTATTAATGTTTTTATAATTTATTTTAATTTAAAAAATATTTTATTAAAAAAATCAATGCTTTGTGTAGTTTTCATGTTACGTTATTGATTTTCTCGTGTCGTCGAACTACATTTATTTCACGCCGCGTATATAGGTTGCATTTGATGAAATCATTTAAACAAGCTTGATTTTTAAGCTAAACTCGATTAATGTATAATATTCAATGATTGATTTATCAAATTACGTTTTTCGTATCTAATATTTTTATCAAGATATCGTCTGTGAATGTATATTTTTTTACAAACCGTTTCGTGTAGCTTCATTAGAGTTAAACAACTTACAAACTTTTCATGAAGAAGTTTCAGTTTATCGTATTTTGTGGAAAGAAAGAACTGAAACTTTCAACCCCTACTAGACTCTGCCATGTTGCAAAATCGATATGCTGTGCACACTATGTTTCCACGATGCGGAGTGATAAGATTAGGCGGCACTTGTGATGTAGCGATGTTATTGACTCAAGAAAATCACCTTTCGTGACAACCCAATATGAGAATTGCAGATCAAATCGAGATCCATTAATATAATGCAAAGAATAATAGAGGGGAAAAAAGGTGAACGAAAGTAAGAACAACAAAATAATTACCTACGGCCGTTTTAGGAAAGGAGACGGCACGCGATTTGCACAATGTGCGAGCGAGAAAGAGAGCGCTATTGGGTAACAACTGCTGGCATGACGTAACGGCGACGTGCAATAGCGTGGAAAGCAATTAGGTGACTATGTATGAGCGAAACAGCATAAATCGATTATCCTTAGAACGAGCGGGTAAAGAAGGATCCAGTTCGCTCTTTGTCCGGTCAGATGGTCAGAATAACCGAGCGAGTTACTAAAAACAAAAGCGAAAAGAAGAAGAAGAAATAAGCTACCTGAAGAAGAAACTGAAGCACCAAAATCTATTAGACTCGAATCACGGCAATTAATATCGACTGCAGCTGAGTATCAAAGGCGACATGCACTATTTGCACCGTATCAGTGTAGATATCTGTTGCTAGGATAAATCGGGCGTGCAATAATAAATAACAAGTGAATTACAACAAAACAACAAAGGCAAACAGATTGATAAAATCTGTACAATTTAATTTGTGAGAATCACATTTATTTGGAGCGCGAGAACATTTGTAAATATTTGATGTTTGCGAATTTATTTCGAGTGCAGAACAAATTTCTCGCTCGCCTCTAATATTACATGCTCCAGGTTTTGCACATCTGCGGATGTCGCAGAAATTCTCTCTGTCTTTCTCTCACCGTATTTTAATTGCTGGATGAATCTCGTTGCAACTATTTCTACGCTGTTATTGTAATATAAACTATGTGCGGAAAATCGATCGAACAGTCCTTGACTTTCACCTCCGCGAAATCCGCAGCATGCACCGCAAAGTCCGAAAACAATCCGAAAAAATAAATTATTAAGATAACAATAATTTTTTGGGAGAAGCTGTCTTTCGCACAAACAGAAGAATTCGGTGTACCGGTACTGTTAGTTAAATCGGAGATGATGTACAGAGTGAAAATTAAAACTGAGCTTGCTTGATATTTAGAAGTTGTCCGGTTACAGCGTGAGACGAAAGTATTATTATTAAGTCTATTTTCGTCTTTGGCTTAGGCTTATGTAAAATGCGCTCTCCTCCTGTCTGCGTGTTTGCTGTTTGATTGCAGATGCAAGTGAGTTTTGCTGGCTTTGGCTTCAGCGGAAGCAGAGATAGCTGATGCACGGGGGTAGGCGCACTCGTTGATACTTAGTAGTTATTTAATAGCAAAACAATGATGCGATTTGTATGATGATGATGTGATGAGATTGACGGTTGGTTGATCTCAATCTCTTCTCTTATTAATTTCGTTTCTTTTCTGGCGGTTATATGTAAATAAATGGGTGCACTTCGAACCGTAACGTCGGAATTGATCGGGAGATTTTCAGCCGGTTTTCAGCGAATCTTGCGTCCACTACTAGCTGAAACTGTGCAACTGGCGATGGGAATTAGAGGTGGCGCCACCAGTAAACTGGGTCACGAACTAAACGAAGACGCCGCTCCGACTGCTGCCTGCTACAAACCAATGCAAATTGTACATTGCCGAGGGGGAGGATTGATTTTTATTTTTCTGCTGGCAGTTTTTTTTTTGTAATCGGATCGTTTTATTTGTCCGTCTTCTTCTTTCACACTTTTGGGGCGCATTTCCAGGGATGCGCGAATCAAACGCGAAAGGAAAAACAATGTTCAAACTATTTTCGCGATGCGCGCATTCCTCTCGTTTACCGCAATAAATTTGTTAAACGAAATGTATCCTGTTTCGCTATCACATCACATTTCCGCAATTAATAACACTCTGAAATGCAATTGCATTAAAATGCATATTTTAGCAACGAACGAATGGCACCACACTTCATTCAATTTATATATTTAATTAAAAATTATATAAATATTAACTTAAATCAAAACACTTATGAAATAATAAAAATATTTATTGCGCAAATATCTTATTTCTTTAAATTTGTCAATTTTAGATCTGTAAAATTACTCTAATAAATAAATGACAAATAGATATTTCTTACAATAGAAAGTAATAATTATATTAATTTTGTTGTTTTAACTATATTCACTGAGAAGTAATAAATACAGAAATTTAGAAATTAATTGAAATTATTATACAAAATGTATTATATAATTCATTAAATCTTTTCCAGATATTCAATACGAACATGTTTACATTTAATACCTAATATTTAACTTCGCAATATTTTTTTAATTTGGAAATATAAATCTTCGATAAAAAAACTTTTTAAACAATACGTTTATAAATTAAATGACAAAACAAGTTACAAATCAATAAATAAAAGAAAGTAAGTAGTTAATATAAATCATATATAAAATTCATACTAAATATTCCGCATAAAGAACATTTTTATATCATAAATTTCCTTGCAAAATGAATGCAATAAAGACTACGAGAATATTGAGATAAGTGCGCTCCAGCGTCCCGACAATACATCAAATACTTGAATAATAAGGACATAACGTCTTCGCTGTCAGTTTTAACCGTTTTTCATGTACTTCAACTGCCTTCACTATCATTTTACTTCTACAATTTATAGATATAACCTTTTGCATAACCTTCTTCAAATAGTCCTATTTACATGTTAAATTGTATTGCACAGCCATTTTGTTTTACCTGCTTTATTTATCCGTTATTTCTCATAGCAACAACTGTCTTATTATATTTATTTTAGTAAATCTACAAAATACATAGATAGTAAAATATTATAAACTATATGCGTTTATTAATAAAATTCAATATTTAGTAAATTTTGATACAAATAATACACATTAAAAATGAATCGTATTTGAAAAGGTATAAGAATCAATAATACCAGACGCGCCATCTATTAAGATGCGCTCCAATTAAATAATTAACAAATTTAGATTCAAATTTATTATGTAGATACTAATTATTTAAATAAAGATGTGATAAATCTTCATACCGAAAACAATATTATTTATATAAGGAAACACAATGTAACTAAGAAATACAGACATTTTTGATAATAATTTGTTAAACAAATTTGTATAATTTCAAATGATTGATAACTTATAAAAGTAAAGCAAGGTTTGTTTTTCTTGAAGTATAATGGGTGATAAGTACCTAAAATAATTAAATACGAATGTAATGCTTATTATTTCGAACTTAGTAATCTCGTATACTTATTTAAAGAACAATTTTAATGAATATTCTCAGAAAAAACAAAATGTAAATCAATAATTTCAAATTCATTATTAATTTAGCGTCATTGATTAACACAGTGCACATAAGCTCGTATCAGATTAGCATATACATACCAAATGTCAGAGTGACATTTGAGTTATGTGCTTAACCTCAAAAATTAAAAATGTCGATAACCTTTGTTTTTTAGTATTCTTGGAAACATCATGAATAACAGTATTATTAGTTTATAATGTAACATTAAGAAAAACAGTATAGTTCAAGATGGTTAGCCTGAATAGATCATTCTTATACGGCATAGGTATTACATCCCTGACATGGATAATCTGTCTGTACTTGTATTCACAACTGAACCAATTAGCCCAATCCGAAAAGCTAGAGAAGCATTACACTCATCTCCCAAGAATCAACAAGGAAATTGTGAACAACAATGTGATCGACATTGATGACAAATCGAAGTCTAAAGAATCAAACAATTACAAAAATGAGTGGTACAAGAAGTACAAGAACAGCGAACAGAACATTAAGAAACTCCAGCCAGTCTTTAAAACCAACAGCAAACTTTCTAAAGATGAGAAAGGTGTGTATTTATAAAAGTGAATAATTAATTAATATTATTTAAAATTGTTTTTATTTAGATTTGACTGAGTTGGGGTTGGTGGCTAATTTGCAAGAGAAGGAAATAAAAGATGAAGGTTATAAAATCCATGCCTACAATGTGTTGGTGAGCAATCGGCTGAGTTTGCACAGGAAAATTCCAGATACAAGAAACAAATTGTAAGGATACTGGATAATAAAAACTGCATATAATAACTTTTAATTATTTTAGATGTGGAAGCGTGGAGTATCCTTTGAAGTTGCCTAATGCCAGTATTATAATATGCTTCTACAATGAACACTTCAATACTTTGCTAAGGTCTATACATTCTATAATAGATAGAACTCCAAGTGAGTTACTCCATGACATCATTTTAATAGATGATTATAGTGATATCAAGGTTTTGCATCTGGAAATTAAAAATTACATAGATAAGAACTTTGTTGATGGAAAGGTGAAGTTGTTTAAAACTGAGAAGAGAGAAGGTTTGATTAGAGCTCGCGTTTTTGGTGCTAAGAAAGCCCAAGGAGAAACATTGATCTTCTTGGATAGTCACATTGAAGTTAACAAGGACTGGATACAACCTCTACTAGGTAGAATTAAGGAAAATAGAACCAACGTTGTTGTACCTGTAATCGACGTGATCAATCCTGATACGTTTGCATACACTTCCAGCCCTCTTGTTAGAGGAGGTTTTAATTGGGGGTTGCATTTTAAATGGGAGAATTTACCTAAAGGTGATTTTATTGCAAATGAAAAGAGAAGGAAACTTATTTATTTTATTTCAGGAACTTTATCCAAGGGTGAAGACTTTGTGAAACCAATTAAGTCTCCAACTATGGCAGGAGGCTTGTTTGCAATAAACAGACAGTATTTTATTTATTTAGGAGAGTACGACAGCGGCATGAATATTTGGGGTGGAGAAAATTTGGAAATTTCATTTCGTGTAAGAAATTTACTTTACATAAAAAAAATATTAACAAAAAAAATCCTCAAAACTACGTGACAACTATTTTCTACCTTTAAATATCCATTGATTATCCTACTAATTGGCAATGAAAACAAGCACTAACTAATGGACTTTATATAAATCAGTATTTGATTTAGCTACAATTAACTAATACTAATTTCACTAAAAATACAATTTCATTTGCACATCAATTAAATAACGAGCGAATTTTACTACTTAATAATTATCATAGATACACTCAGAAACAACAGGCTTTTTTCAATGACAACCACTGGAGATTATTAATGAACTTCTACCAATGATTACTAAGATAAGTTAAACTCATTCGTTAGTCAATATATTTCAAAACTAAAAAAAATATATATTTCCATTAAAATTTTCCATTGAGATTATATTTTAGTGTAATCTAATTCAATAACTGAATTAAAATACTTTAGATATTCCTTCACATTAACAATACGATTTTCGATATGAATATTAATTTTAAACTATTCCTAACAAATTCAGCTTTGCTCGAATTTAATATATTATTGTTGTATATTATAAAGATTTCGTTACTTATAACGGATTATTATAGATATGGATGTGTGGAGGAAACTTGGAAATGTTGCCTTGCAGCCGAGTGGGTCATGTATTTAGGCAAAGAAGACCATACGGATCACCGGATGGACAAGACACGATGCTTCATAACTCTTTGAGAGTAGCCCACGTTTGGATGGACGAGTATAAAGCATGCCACATACAATATTATCTACGAAAAAAACATAATTCTAACCATTGAAATCGTTTCTTTCAGGAATACTTTCTGAGTCAGCGCAAGGAAGTGGAAAAGGTGAAATACGGCGATATTTCATCGAGGCTTCAATTAAGGAAAGAACTTGGTTGCAAATCGTTCGATTGGTATATAAAAAACGTATATCCTGAAATCGTGTTGCCTTCGGACGATGATAACAGACTGAAGAACAAATGGGCAGCATTGGAACAAGACGATTACCAGCCGTGGCACACGAGGAAACGGAATTACGTGAATCAGTATCAGATCAAACTGACTAATAGTTCTTTGTGCTTGACAAGCGAGAAGGATTACAAAGCGAAAGGTGGATTGCTAACTTTGAAGCCATGCATGCGGTACAAGTCGCAAGTAAGATTTATTATTCTGAAGAATTATTAACAGTTGTTAATTAATTTTATTGAAATGTAGATGTGGTATGAAACGGATCGAAACGAATTGGTTCTCTCTCAGTTGCTGTGTCTGCAATCTCGTCACCCGAAGCCGTTCCTTTACAAATGCCACGAGATGGGAGGTGATCAAGAGTGGAAGCATAAAGGAGAGGTGTGTGCAGCAATCGATTTTCGCATTTTCGTATACAAAGTTTTTTTTTTTACTTACTTTCAGAGCGGATCCCCTATTTACAACATGGCTGCCGGAACTTGCCTAGGTGTGGAAGAGGTCAAAGTTGCGGCGGAAGTAGTCATGACCCTCTGCGCAGATCCGACCTACAACAAGTGGGATTTAGTCGAGACCTAAACTAATATATCTATATAATTCTAAAGACACATATTTTTCTAATGATCTTTTTTTATATTAACCGGAAGACTGATTTATTTTTGCTTTTATATGTCCTCCAGGTATTACACCTTTTCTTCAGGTAACTTTATGCCATACTGCGTGTTCTACCTTTTTATGTGTTTCATTTTATAATTATACATTTTTACTCTCTATTATTCTTATGCATTTATTACTAATATATTGGATGTTGGTTATTGTGAAAAATTCTATTTATAAAATATATTTTCTTGTTTGTGTTTACATTGGTTTGTATTAAAAAAAAATGAGTTAATGAATAAAAATATATATTTTCCGAGTTTAATTTGTTTCAATGGTGGCTGAATGCGAAGTCGTGATTCGGAAAACTTTTCTCTTAGCGTTTCGGTCTCCCTCTCGCTCCTTCCATTTGCTCGAATGTAATGTTCTGATCTGGTCTTGAAACTAAGTGGTATATTGTATAAAACCTCGCGACCACGAATTGCTTTTAATTGATTTTCGATAAAAGGTTTCCGCGTTTAACATAATAGCGGTGGAGTGTTGACATCTTCACGGATCTGTGTGAATTCTGACACATGCGAACTTACCCCACTTTTGTCGAGCGCGCACCCTCTTTATATCTCTCTTACACATCACTTATGTACATCTCCATTCAGATGCCTTCTACACACATATCTGTCCATCCTTTCGAAATACAAAAGGAAAGACTAAGGAAAATAAATAGTCTGAATTTGATTAATTTGTTTAACTAAATTTCGAAAATATTAAAGGGAAAGAACCAATTCTCCACTAAAGTCAATATAAACATATCAATTTATCACCAACATAATAAACTTTATAATTATAAATTTTGATTAATGCTCAAAATAAAAGTTACTAAAGCCTTATGGAAATAAGAAAAACTTGTAAAAGAAACATAAAAAATAATATATAATCTGAAGAAATGTAACATACAATTGATTAATATGTAATAAACTTTTATAGTTTTTGAAAACTCCTATATAATTTAGATACAAATACTGTTGATTCATTAAGAGAATTTTATATTTTAGATATGTCAATTTCAAGTTAGTTTAATGAAATACTTCAGATTTCTATCAACGTTTTGTTCCACTGATTCAAATAATTTTGCAATTTCGTTATTTGAATTTTTAAATAGTTGATTTTTTCTAACGGATCATTACTTAAAATATACGATTTGTACAGTAGACATACGAATCAATCATTATCTTTTCCATTGCATTATAATAATATACAGTTTATTGGTGAAAATTATGACCAAAAGGCTATCAATCGCGGTCATTTCACCCAATTTTAATATATTTAAAGATAATACTTCAATAAAAAAATATGTTTGGTTTCTATCTGGTATTTTACAAAAGTTAATTATTAATTGGTAGTGATTTGCAAGAGTAACAAGTATAAATACAAGCAGATTCACTTATTTAAAACATTAATTTAATGATAAAATATGTATAAAAAAAAAAGCAAACAACCAATATAAATTTGTGCTCTGGTATTCATTTAAACTTTAGTCAACTTGATACTTTGAGCATTAATATTTGTAATTAATTATTGACACCAAACATTTACATACAAATGGAGATTAATTTTATTTGTGTAATCTTCTCAGTTTAGTTAGTTTTGATTAACTGCAATGATTAAACATATGCTTAAATGCACTTTGTATTTAAATATCAAAGAAATAATATTACAGTAAGACATTAAGGTCAATACAAATAATATTTTATTCCAATCTTCAATATATTTACATGTATTTATCAAAAAACGTGATGTACATATGTATGGCCTATGGCATTTGTTTATACAAGAAATTCTTTGTTTGTTACTAGTTTGAATAAACGAAGGACACATTTGATCTAAACATTACTTTTCCACGATTATTTTTACTCAATCGAATTCTTTACATTTTTTATCGCAATCAACAAGAAGTTAACAAGTATAATTTCGAATTAATCTACGTTTCCTAATATTTTATGTTTCGCGTTAATCGTATAATATTGTATTCATCAACTACCGATCCTTATGTTTTTTTTTTTCGAGGTTTTTATTAAAATTGTAAATTTCTAGCGCGAAATTTGTAATTAGTGTAAAACTGATGTCAATAAAATATATTTAAATCACAAAATATAAAAAATGGAATCAATAAGCAATCTAAATTTTAAATTTACTAGTATTATTTACAATTGTATCAACAAAAAATATACTTTGGAAGAAATTATGTTTATATCTAATATTATTATGATATATTGAAATGATTTTTCAATAATTAACCAACATTTTAAATTTGCTAGTATTATTTACAATTGTTTCAACTAAAAATATACTTTGAAAGAAATAATGTCTATGGCTAATATAATTATGATATAATGAAATTATTTTTCCCTCAATCTCCGTCGATATTAATTCACAATAAACTGTTTTATATACGATTAAAAGAGGAAAAACTATTTCACAAAGTTTCTATAAGAATTGATCAACACTATAGATGCAAGGCATTCACAAATTATATAATGCTTAATAAATACAAAACAATAACAAAAAACAATATAAATTCTGACCAATATTTAGTTATTCATAGAATGAGCACTGAATAAAGTATTGTATCACTGTTAATAAAAAAAAAACTACCTTTCTGTAAACATTTATTGAATCTATTCAACGTTGAAAATAATGATTTCAATGAAATAAATGATATCCGGAAAAGTTTTACTGAATATAAAAAATTAAAACTTAAAAACTTATTAAAATTATTTCCTAATAATATTGTTTTCTTTGTGTACGTCTAGTAAGTGTATTATTTGGGTTTTGTTGACATCAAATGAGAGAAAAGAAAAACTATGGAATAAAGAATATAATTATTTTTTGTTTTGTTTTTCGTGTTGGAAAATTACTTGTAAAATGGCGATTCCATGGCCAGGGCAACGATTTTCCAGTCGGACTTCGAATAATTTATGCGCGCATTAATATTTGAGCCGTCGCTCGGGGCATAACGACGTGGAAAGCTAAAAAAATAGGAAAGGAATGTTCAGTGACAGGTCGAAAGGGTGCACAAAGGTTGCGCCCCGACCAATGGCGAGCGGAGAGGCAGCAGGAGACGACCAATCGCATCGCTCTCTCCCCTAACCGATCGCCGCTCTTTTAACCCTGCCGCGAGGGTGGTAGGCGTGTCCACGATGCACAGGGTGCTTCATCAACTTTTCTATACACCGAGTTATCACTTTGATTTGTGACTTTTCAACCGGTAAACCACTTTGCCGTCCGCAATAAACGACAGTTTTCGAACGGCCGCAATTCTTCATCATTCCAATTTAACAACAAGTGCATCAAGTACATCAAGGTAAGATTTATCAAAATTATAGTAGAAAAATGAAAAAGACACAATTCATAATATTTGCATTTAACTGAAATTGTAAGTCAAGTGTAATTTTGTAATCAACTTGTAAATTTGAATCGTTACTTTGTATATACTTTTCAGTAGGCAATCATTTATTTTATTTACATTTTTACACTTTCACCTGTATATCTAGCTAAATTTTCTTTACTCATTGTAAACAGTTTATGGTCTTCCATTCATCAGAAAGTACCGAGCTAATCTTATTCGTTTGTGATTTGTCATTTGTCGAGCAGTGATAAAGTCTAAATTAAATATAAAACATAGAACTGTAGATTAAACAACTAAAAAATAAAAAAATGTAGTAAAAATATCAGAAATATAATAATATATAATTTAAGAAAATTGAAGTTTCTACATTAATTACTTAACCAACCTCTTAATTATTACATTGATTATAATTAGTTTTTACACGTTAATTAACAACAATAATTAATAAAAACATATATAATTTTGATAAATTCATATTTAAGATTTTTATAATGATTGTATAGTTTAAAAGATATAAACTAAAGAGTGATACAAAAAAACTTCAATTAGATTTAAAAATCGAACAAATTAACCAAAAAACATGATTTTATCATATTTCATCTTCTAGGTAAAAAAAAACTATTTCATAAAGACAGTTTCCGTGTGACAAGGTTTTATATAGATTTATAATTTGTTTTATAACTGTTTTATATTTGTTATAATTATATTTATATTTGAACAAATTTAGTTTTTATTATTAAATATTTAATTACAGACTTAACTTTGTATTATAATTTTTATTGATATGCAGGTTACCTCATACATCGAACGGTTCAATTTTTAAACCGTTATTTTATTATTACTAAAAAAAACTATTTGAATAATTTAATATTATATATTTATCACTAAATTTTTCGGTCTTGTGTTTCTAAGAATCTTAATAATATTAAGATTTAAGTTGCCATAGTAATTTCAATCTTAATAAAACTTAACTTCCTAATACATAAGTCAATAATTAAATACGCAACAAGATATTCATTTATTAGAAATACTTGTATAGTTCGGTTTCAATCAGTCGGGATTCAATATAGCCCAGTTTGAAAATTTCAATTTGAAAATTGAATTAAGAAAAAATATGAATAAACAAAATGATTGTATATACATAAGTGATCAAGTTTTCCCTATATTCAATTTTCTTTTTGTGCTGATTATTTTATATGTATTTAGTTTCAAGCAGTCCATGAGGAACTGATTACCCGCACTGAGCGAGGAATTGTTGTTTGTCGCTTTACCTGACAATTAAGAACAAAGTTTTTCAATTATGTGATTTGCATGAATGTTCATAATAACTTACTGTAGTTGTTTCACTGCTAATAAAAGTTACAAGAAATTTGCTTACTTAACAGTTTTCAAGAATTGTACACATAACAAAATATTTCTTAATGTTACAATATTATTTGATTGCATTACAAAAAAAATCACTTGTAAGTAAAAATTAATTGCAATTATATTACAATTACTTTAAGTTTGATCGATTTGTATTCAGTTTGTTTGTCTGTTTGAAAATCTACGGTGCATCAACGACTAGAAAAATTAATCCATATTGTTGTTGAACAATAGTTCGAGTCCATTGTGAACCGATAATCGCACATAGAATGTATCGGTTCAAACTGCAAACACCTTTCGCGCTGAAGATGACTTTCGATTTTATAAAAAATCGACGCTGCAGAAATTTGCATATTTTTTACATCCATCCACATCATTCTCCGTGGCCCAACACCTCGACACTATTAATCTAACATTATTCAAATTCCATTTGCCAAGTTTTATAATATCCATTATTGGATAAACTTTGTTGAGGCGTATAAGCTAATAAGTATTCATAACAATTTTATATAGATAAATCAATGGAAACTCACGTGCTTGATTATTAATAATATTAATAATAGTAATATCTAAAATTATTGAAATTCCGTTTACAAATTTTGTTTAATTGTTTTCAACTTAATTGAAATGTATAAGTTTTGATATAATAAATTTATATAGATAAATCGATGGTTTAAACAGTAACTTGCGTGATAGTTAACTAAGATATTGATTAGATCATTAATAGTAATGAATAATAAAGTTCATAGTTATGTCACCACATAAAATGGGAAATCTACTAATTAAATTTTCCAATTTGGACCAAAGAGTTATGATTTTGTATTTCTTCATTTTTATTTGTTAATAAAACAATTTATAGTAATATAATTTATTTGCACTACATAGGAAAATCAAACAAAATTATTTAATTCTAATTATTAACAATTATTGCAAACGGCTTTTTCTACCAGGTTCTTTAATATTTACATGTTATTTATTTGATAAAATTGATAAGCAGTACCAACTAATATGATATAAGTTATAATTTAGGTAAAAATTAGGATATCTAAAAAACACAAATATATTAATATATAAAAATGTACAATTTTTGAATACGATAAAGTTTCAACTGAATTTTGTTTAATAATTTTTTTAATTAAATAATATTTAGACTCGTTCGTGAACTATTACAAACTGATAAAATAATTGAAATAATTATATCAAATTTCAAAACTTTCGTGCTTTGAAATTGGTATATGTAATACTACCATTATGTCGTTTTAGGGTGAAACAGATCAATTTAGTTATAGAAATCTATGTGATTTGATCGCCGCCGGAAAGATTTTTAGAAAAGCCATACGCCGCGTATCAATTAAACGAATCCATGAACCGTGACTCGCAGTAGTCCAACATGAAATTATATGTTAATTACAGTTTACAGTATCCCTTTTTCTTTCCGGCCACAAAAGGGCAACATATGCGACCTGTCCGTGGCACGTGGCCCCCTCGAAGACAGACTGCAAAATAATGCCCTAACATCTAACACCCCTCCAAACTGTTGAATAAAATATATTGTTGATGGCACTGGGACTTTATTTTTCGAAAAATTTTGCAACTTTATGCGAAAACTTTGTGTGGAAAGAAAAAGCGATGGTGCATTAGGTGCCATGTGTGGGTGTCGTGGTGAGTCGATCGACTGCAAATTAATTGTCCATGTCATATATCATTCGGGTGTCGGATCCTGTAATTATCCTACTTCCTACCAAATTGCCGTGACCGATTTATCTAGGAAAATGTAATGTTTCGATGGACGTGTTGGGAGAGCGTGTATTGTACTTGTAGTCTGGTACCTTCGGACAATCAAATATTAATTTCCTTTTACGTACCATGAAACCAGAGAATTATTCATTACACGTGTACATAACACATTCACTGAGGTAATACCGCATAAACGGTTTTCCAAAAACAAAACGCTCGAACACATAATTGCTACACATTTCCAACTGGGTCTTGTGTTTCACCAAATAACACGAATTACACAAATGACAACCATTTTCAGCAATATTAAACAATATTTTCTAAAATATTAATACATATTATCTCTTTTATATTAATGTTCCAACAAATTTCCTACGACAACTTGATTTATTTATTGGTGCGTACACACTACGACGTAGTGCTATTTTTTTGCCTTATGGCAGATGTACAGGCATACTAATATAACACCTCACTTTTCAAAATATTACACTTTGTTGGTACAAAGTGAAACATTAATTTTAATTATACTGTGATAAGAGAATTCATAATTAACATTCAAGAGTCCTGAATATTTTATTCTATTGTTTGTATTTTGTTCGACTTGAATATTAATAACTTGTAACTTTAATATAACTTCTATAAGTTGTATCAACTATATCCAAATAGCAAAGCTAATAGTTATTTTTGAAAATATCAAAAATTGCCTACAAATTTAAAATAAAATGAATTTATTATCAAAAACGCTATTTTCTTATGTTTAGTTGAGAACAACTTTATATATTACTTCTTATAATATAAGATAAAAAATATTGCTTCTATCGAAAAGTCAGTATTAAATAAATTTTAAACCTATATTTTCCAATATTTAACACGTATATTAATCTATAATTGTACAATACAAATTCGTACTTTATGTACTTGTTTCTGTCAGGAAAACGTGTTAGTTTTTTTTTATGTTTGTTTATCTGTTTATACATAAGGTGTTTAGCTGACCTTCCATTTGTCATAAAAAAAAAATAACGCGTATGAGATTTAGGGGTGACTTTAACACCTGTATTGTATTGTCTGGTGCGGTTTCGGGTAGCCAAATGGTGGGGTGAGCTATCAAATCTACCGCACAATTATGTAATCATAATGAACCCCGGCGGTGCGGCGTTTACAACTACAAATTACGCAATATGTTAGCTTTTTTCACGGCAACTCTACATGAACATCACGCATGCCTTGCATATTCAATTGCGGTACTGACAATAGTCAACGTCATCAATACAAATCGAAGCAGAAAAAAAAACAAAACTATCACAAATATTGGTTTTAAACATTGAGAATTGAGATATTTAGATTCATTGAAATTGCTATTGACTATTTATGAACATTTGATGTAATTCAATTTCAAATTTAACAAAGTAATGTAGATATATACTTTGCCGAGTAACTTGGCAAGTAAAATGTAGTGCATGGATAATATCCATGTATCCCGTTTCGTTTCCGCAAACAGTTCCGGACTGTTTGAATCACGGGGACATTAAAACTGCATAAAAATAAAGTTCACAAAAGAAGATTTGTAAAAAAAAATCAATTATTTATATATATAAACAAATAATTGAAAATTCTATTTTAATGATTTATTTGTAATGTATCAATTAAAATTTAGATTATTTTGCAATTGTCAAACTATATTGAATCCGGACTGATTGAAGACGCACTATGCGAGATATTTATGTACTTGAATTTACGCATGTAACTATAATGAATTAATTATAGTAACATAAATTATTTAAGTTGGTACACATTTTAGTTCTATGCACATATTTAAAACAAAAATACAATTTTGTCAAAAAATATAAGTATCATAATCAACAGTTAATTTATAAATAGTTTTTAATTAAAATATAGAAATTGCACTCACCTGCAATGTAGACACCACATTTATGTTCTTTCGATCAGAATATGATAACTTTATTATACAGTTGAAGATGTTTTAACCACAATTTGTTAATTTTTTGTTACATGTTCAATGACTTTGTCAAACTATTATTGACAAGTAAGAAAACAAAATAAATATTTAATGGCTGTCTTTCATGGGTAATTAGATAAATAAAAAGAATAAAATCTTTCAATATCATTAAATATTTATTTAAATTACATATTTAGTGTACATATGTATTGTGATTAAAGTTGCTGGAATTTAATAAAATACATTTAGGAAATTTACAAATTATATTTATTTAAAATTGAACAATTCCATAATTTACAGTAAAAAATAAAAAGAATATTGAAAATTTTATACAATTTTCGAATAATTCATCGTAATAAATTATTATGCAATTTGACATAACTTAACTACAAATAAAATTTAGTAATAAAGTAAATAGTGTAAAACAGCGTTTCTTAACCCAACACAAAAATGTTGAGAAAAACTGGTGTAAATGATACAATAATAAATGTGTTTTCTTTTTAAATATTTGCAGATGGAAGAATCTACAATCAAAGGAGACTTACTCTGTAAAGTTTGCGGAGATAAAGCCTCGGGGAAACACTACGGTGTCTCCAGTTGCGACGGATGCAGAGGTTTCTTCAAGAGAAGCATCAGAAGGTAAAATTATTTAAAAAAAATCCTCAACAATTATTATAAAATTTAGTTAAATATATAGTATAGAAAATTACAACATTGACAAGTTTATTTATAGTGTAATTACTTGGAGATTTTAAATCAGACATTCACACGATAAACATAACTGAATGAATGAATCCGTGTAGACGATGGCCTTCGAAAATAAGAATAGAATATAGTTAAAAATAAATTATAATCATTACGTATCTACTTGTATTGTTTTTTTTTAATCACACCAAATTTATAATAGTCTGATTAATTTCGTTTAATTCACAGAAATTTGGAATACGTTTGTAAAGAAAATAGCAGATGCATCGTTGATGTGACGAGGAGGAATCAATGTCAAGCATGCAGATTTAGGAAATGCCTTCAGGTCAACATGAAACGAGATGGTAAGATTTTTTATATTGTTTTTTATTCCTTATTAAATACATAATGCTTATTAAGTTAAATCCATCTAAATGATTAAAGTAATAAATAATACTTGATTAAAAAAAAATAATAATTTACATTTCGAAATTTGTTTTTTTTTCCACCTGCAAATAAAAGCAAACACGAATAATATTGTGATGTAAATTAACTAGTTACGAAACTATACCTTTTTTAAGGAGTTGCGATATTTTCGTTGTTGTTCTCGTCTTTGGTCTTGTTCTCGAAACCCATGATGGGGAACAGCTTGATTTTGAGGAGATTCTTCGTCGGTTCCTCTCTTTGAAAATCGCCCGTAAATTTGTTCCTGTCGATGTGCTCCACGTTTAGTTTCCTGGGCTGCTTGAGAAGCTTCACCTGGTAAACGCCAGGCCCTGGAAGCTCATCCTCAGCTGGATAAGCGAGGACGATTCCAACAACGAGCAACAACAAGAACGAAAACACCTTCATTTCGCGAACGCCAAACAATCACTGCCAATCATCAACATAATCCGCGGCAATTTTATTTTGTCCGCGGCAGAAATCCGGATTTCAATGACGCAATCTATAATTGTGGCCGTTCGTAGACATTCTTTCGATGCACATCCATGGTCCGTGCGAACCTATTGCCTCTCATCAGATACGTACGTCTTGCAGATGGCTCGAGTCTGATGTAACTAATTTCCGTTTAATAGCGTGAATTGTTTTCTTTAAAGAAGAGCTTAAAAATATATAATAATAATACGGATATACCCAGTGATTTATTATTGTTGCGAATGTAAATAAGCTTTATTTTGGGTGATGAATAAATTTGATGCGAGAGGGCGATGGGCCATCATCAATTAGTTCAAGCGTTCGCACCCCCTCGCATTCGTCGGATCTTGAGAACGCTCAGGGTGAAGTAAACAGCACCCCCTTTGGCGTTCGGTGTCATCCGCAATTTGTTTACCTCGCAGTTTTTTTTTTGTTTGTTTGCGCTCCGCTTTTCTCTCCTGCAATAACCGAACGAACACTCAGGACCGTCACGACCAAAAGAGTAAACACATATACTTGTATGTTTGCTTAAGTGAGCTTTCCACACTCAAAATAATATATATTTAAAAAAAAACGTAATAACATTGATGACTTTTACAAAATAATTGAAAAAAACATCTATATATATTTCTCATTATCAATTTAATTCAAAAAAAAACATTTAATTATTTCTTAAAGAAAAATATGATGAATGTATTAAATACTAGTAATTACATATACAGTGAAGCCTCGCTTAACGAGTTTAATCCGTTCCAAAACTTCCGGATTTTTACTCGTATAGTGAAACATATTCAAAAATACACATAATATATGTACACAACTTTTAAAAATAATGTAGTAGGCGCGCAATCCGGGACATCTCATCTCATCGTCACTCGTTAAGCGAGTCATTTTTCTTATAAATCATTTTGCTCGTTAAACAACATGCTCATTATGCGAAGTGCTTGTTAAGTGAGGTTTCACTGTACTTGCTGTAAAACATTAGTAAAACAATAATAATTATTGTACATAACCTTATTAACCTAACCCAACTTTTTTATCTTCATTTTCTGTCTATCCATATTGGCATTAATAGTTTATCAAAAACTTAAGATGATCATAAACATTCCTTTTTGTTATGATTTCGTAATCCTTTTTTATAGCATAGGTTTTTTAATGATAGTCTTTTATGCTGAATCGTAAAAAATAACAAGTTTAATGGAAAACATATTATTTCCACTATTATTATGGCAATCCAATTAAATCATGTCATGTCTATTTCTGCACTAAAGTCACAACAATCATAGATGTAAGCTTACACTCAATCAATTCAAATTGTTTATTATTTTTGAAATACTTGTATTTCGTCGTCTAATATTTATTTACAATATTTGTTTATTCAGTAATGTTTTGATTCATAATGAATGGAACATACTACAATGTTAACGAAATTATAAAACATACGTTTGATGCATTTTAATTGAAAATACTTGAAAAAAGAACCATAGTTCCTAGGTATGAGAATTGAAATAATTACTTAATAGATCTTTAGATTTAGTAACTTTTTTTTGTCTTGTTGTAACCATTATTAGTTAACTTATATTTTCAAGTGTTTTCTTTGGATGATTACCAACTTGATATTTCATGTATCAAGATATTTGTTGAACAAATAGAAAACATTATATTCATTTTTATTCAATTATCTTGTTTTAACGCAAATTTTCTATCAGTTAAATACGATATTAGATATTTATAATTTACTACTTTTATATTATTATTTTTCATACGGTATAAATAAATAGAAATATAAAAAAAAATAATCGCATGATACAAATGAATGAACAGTTTATAGAAATATTAACATTTATTTCTCATATAAATTGAATTATAAATTTTATAAATAAGGAAACTGTAATTTGTATATATAATCAATCGCCAAAAAGATAAATTATTCATAGTTTAAATCATATACATTTATTCTATTTCTAGAAATGCACGACAATGAATATCTAATAAACTTTAATGACATTTTATTGCACTAAAAATATTTATTATATATTTTTTTTGTTAAGAGGAAGAATAACGAGGTTATTCCTCATTCCCCAGGTAAAACGACTTTTCTTTTACTGTTATACGTTGTAACATTTTTTTTTTATGGAATCGATTAGAATATACGGTAAATGCGAAATTTTACGTAAACCTCGCACGTGATTTATTGAATTAGTAAATTGGATTTTCCTATGCGCTTTTTATAAACACATCTTTGCAAACATATTAATAAACACATGTAATGGAAATAATATTTAGATTGTTTAAAAAACAAGTTTTTTTTGTACTGTTTTTGTTTTATAATTACTATTATTACTAAATTCTTCATAAAATTAGTTTTTGTTGTAAATAAATACAAACTTATATTTTTCAAAATTTCAAATGTAGTTTATAAACTATAAAATTAATATAATATAAACACTTCATAGTTCATTAATAAATTTAAAAAGAATCTTTATTTTGATACAAATGAAGATATTATCACAATTGTAATGTGACAAATAATTTGTAAATGATATCGGAAAAAAAGTAAAAAAACAAAACATTAGATCAAATTGAGAGACATTCGAAACAAGTATGTAAATACGGAAATCTTATACGGAATAATTTGAGAAAATGAAAACATAGGGATAAATAATGGCTGAAGACGACTTCGTGTTGGTTTAGTTAATATTTAAGATGTACGAGTTGATTCGAGATAAGGGTTCGACCCGCGGGTCTCGCACACAAATGGGGTGTAGGTGGAGTGGTGCGAACTAACAGGTGTTTGAATATCTTTGTTGTGTAACCACAGACATTGTGTGTATGTATATGTGTGTGTAACTCCCTGTCTCCCTGCCTCATAGTCATTACGTAAAAAAAAACGAGACCCTCCAGCAACAAACCACCCCCGCCGCTGCGACAGCGCGACCCCTTTTCTCTCTCTCCATCGCGCCGCCACCAAATGATCATTACCGGCCATAATGTACACAGCAGGCCCTGAATAATAAATGAGTTGACTTTCAATAACTACGCTCGATTCTCTAATTATTAGTTAAATATCAGCTGATTGGGCTGCATGCAACGCTCCATGGTTCCGTAATTGTTAAAAATGCATAAATCCGTTCCCTCATCGATTCGTATCGCTCAACTCGTCTCGTCTTTTCCTTCCGCAGCCGTACAACACGAGAGGGCCCCCAGGACGACGATCCAAGCCAGCATGCATCATTATCCTTTATCCTTCGGACCGCGTCTCAAGACGCTTCAATCCTCGTCCTTCTTCTCTGGACTTCCCCTGCACTTGCAGACACCCCCGATAATCGATCCAGCCGCTCTCACCTCCGTCTCCAGTCTCCACTCATCCTACATACAGCAGGGATTGATTTATCCCACGATGCTGAGCCCGTTCACCAAGCCCGGCCTCTTCGCCAACAATTTAAGTGAGTTCCCATCGATTTCGCGTTTCCTCAATTAATCATCAATCGAACATTAAAATTCAATTAGCAGGCATCCATTCGAGTTTCGCTCACAACAACAAACCCGTCTTCAGTTCACCTTCCAACCTGAGCCCAAGGACTCAGGGCGTCGCTGTGAAGGATGATGAGGTAAGCAGTTCCGAGGAATCGACAGCAAACCGTCTCGAAGGTAAAATCACAATTAAACGAAAACAACAACAATATAAAATTAGCCTGTTTAGATTCCTCCAACCAGGAAGCCAAGTATCCGTCTTCTAAACGCTTGGAGTTACCTATACTTAGCGATCCTTCCAGGCGACCACTGGACGTTCCTTACCTGACCATCTTTCCCACAGAAAATATCTACGAATCAGCCGCCAAACTGCTATTTTTATCCATAAAATGGGCTAGAAGCATACCATCATTCCTGCAGGTAAGATTTAATTTTAAATTTATTTAATATATAAAATCAAATCACATAACTTTATTTTTGCATTAGCTTTCTTACAGGGATCAATCAATATTGCTGGAGGAAAGTTGGAGCGAACTTTTTATATTGACTGCGGCACAATGGACGTTGCCTTTCGATGAAAGTAATTACCGATTAACATTTAACACATTTCATTCAACTAATCGATGACTAATTATTCGCAGATTTATTAATCACCAACGCGATCACTTCTAACTGCAAACAAAGCGTTTTGGAAGAAGATGCAAGGAAATTGCGCGACGTGATCAACAGATTGACATTGCTTAGGGTTGATCACACGGAACACGCTTGTTTGAAAGCGCTTGTACTGTTCAAAGCAGGTAAAGGTTTTTTACTATTCAAGATTTATAGTTAATAGTTCAATTACAATCATTTAGTAATCTTAAATCAAGAATGACATGTTTTGTTTTTCATTTGTTATATAGAATGCCGTGGATTATGTGAACCTAGTCACATAGAGCTCCTTCAAGACCAAACCCACGTCATGCTGAGCGAATACTGCAATCAGCGACAGACCACACCGAAAGGAAGATTCGGAAAATTGCTACTTGCGTTACCATCGGTCCAAGCCATAAGCAGGAAGAGTTTGGAGGAGTTGCTGTTCAAACAGACTGTGGGAGACGTCGCTATAGATAGGCTACTTGGAGACTTAGCCAAAGCCACGCAAACCTAAGATACTTACCACAATATTAAAATCGTGTATTTATATGACTCGCAACATCACCGACGGTTGACACATACCATCTTTTTATCCCTGTGCGTGATTTCTTTACTATTAACGCTTCATATAAACAAGTGTATAAGACATACGAAAATCACATATTTTTCTACCAGATGGATTTCCCTTCGAGTTTATTATTGTGATATATTTGTATTTGCCACTATTTATTTAAAAATATTTGTTTATGTACGTGAAAAAAAGTGTGTAAAGGTGTTTGTAAATCGAGTCGAAGATTGTGAAAGTGTTAGCATTTTTGATAATAATCGGTGCAATCGCAGGGGATCTTGTCCGTTCTCATGTCGCACAAATCCATGCGATCTCTCACGCACCTTTCAGGACCTTCTGCGAATCTCACAGATTTTATCCTACAAGCCCCTTTCGGAAGCTCCACCGGCTGGACCATCAGAGGAGATGCCGCCGACACCGCAGAATCCACTTTTCTCCTGATATCTATACCGATCGGAGGTGGTATATCGCAAGGCGGAGCATCCCCGGTCTCGCACACGTCTTTGTGTTTCTGCAGGATGGCATCGTAATGTTTCTGCAACGCTTCTTCGGGTGTATCAATATGCTTTGGTGTAAACAAGGATTGATCTTGAAAAATAAAATATAATTAAATTAATAAACGATAATCAGAAAAAAAAACAACTCAGAGTTTACCTCCCATATCCGTGCATTCGATGGATTTTACATCTCCAATGACTAACGGATAAGCGCAATCCTTATTTAGAGGTTTAATACCGTACGGAGGAACCTTTTCTTTATGTTCCATGCTCTTTTCGTATTCCATCAAGATCTGAGCTCTCTTCCTATCATCAGAACTTGGATCAAATTCAGCGCCTCCGACGTGCATTTGTTCCAAACACTTCTCCATCTCGGTCGCGTTCTTCTCCAAATCACGACCTGCAAAAAACAAACAGTTTACAAAGTTTAATCGTATCAACTAGAACAAACCGATAGCATCTCGTTCGGCCTTCTTCACAGCTTCATCGTACTCCTGCTCTTCATCCAAAAGATCATCCTTAAGATGACCCTGGATGAACATGTAATTACGCATGTTCTCGATTATCTCGCATGGGAATTTATCTGGATTTTCTTGCATGTACCGATACACATATAAATCAGCTCCAATTATTATAAATCTTTGCTCATAAACGGTAATCACACCACCAATGTAGAAATCAGCAGGTGAGTAGTAATCAGGATCCAAAGGATCTCCACCCGGTTTAGTTAACATAGTATTACGAAGATATTTCCCACCTGAAAAAAAAAAACAAACAATTTTTAAAATAACATTTAAAATAGATAAAACTAATCCAAAATACTTGGACCTTTACGTAAATTTAAAAACCATTAATAAAATATATTATTTTCATTTACCAATAACTCCGGAATTCTCAATTATAATCTCGTATATGTTGACGGTACCATCGCCTAAATTGTACTTCATCACGAACCTCCTAATAGTGTCTTCAGGATGGACAGCATCAAACTTCATCTCGTACCTCAAGAACTTGTTGGCATTGGTGACCTGCTTGATAACATCCTTCCTGGGCGGCTTCGGAATCATCATGTACGTATTCTGCATAGAATCTTCTAAACTTCCGAAGCCATCGTGTGGCGGCATTGGCGGTTTAATCTTCGGTTTTTCCTTCGGTTTCATGTCGATAGCCGGCTGCTGTTCGTAGCGCAAAACCTTCTGGTAGTAATTCCTAGTAAACTTGTCGCAATCATATAAGAACATTCTTCGACCCAGGACGAAAATCGTTTCTCCCACACGAAAATCTTTAGGCTGGTAATATTCATTCACTTCCGCATCAGACCTTTCCAAGTAAATTGATGGATAATTTACTGGCCGTTCAGTCCAAATCTATATAACAACATAAAACTCATTAAATATGTGTATTTTAACTACTGGCATGATATACTTTGGGCAATTTAGTTTTCCTGAGTAATTGCGGGAAAGGATCACGTCCTTCGTTATTCTGCATTACTTCTTTAACAGCTACAGTGTCATCGGCCAAGAAATAAAGGATTTCGTAAGGACGAATCTCTCCGTACTCACTATCTCTATCATCCCACATTGCATCGAATCTGTAATAATTTATTTTAAACTCCTATATTAATAGATGTTAAAAAAATCGAAACAGTACTTTAAGATTTTTCCGTCGTATTCCAGGAAGCGCCGGAATTTATCGTCGGCCGGAGGAGTTGTGGTGCAATGGATTTGTGTTTTGAACTTTCTGTCTTGAGTGTAAGGATCCGGTGGCAGCGCTTCAGTTTCACCAACGATAACTCCTTGGCTCCTCATAAATTCCTGCAATTCCATCAATTACAATGGGCATCAATCATGAAGATAAATCTCACCTTTGTGTATTTATCGCAATCGACGGTATGGTAAACTATGCCGTATATGCATATATCTATACCGACGTTCAGATCCTTCCAATGCCAAACTTCTCCGTGATCCGTTTTCGGAATCTTTCCTCTCTTCACCAATCGCCCTTGATCGAAACCGCTGTTCGCAGTCTTCGGCTCCATCACCGTCATGGAATCATCTTCCAAGAAATAAATTATATTCACATGTCGCACCCTGAAATACTCCGCCGGAGACTCAAACACCGACTGCTTGAAGAACGCTTTGAACGTTAAACATTTCTGATCGTAGAGCGCGTAATGGGGTAGATAAAGCGGGGGAGCTTTCGCTCTGGTTCTTCCGTAGGTCAGCGATGGATCGTAGTGCAGGGGTTCCAATTTCGATACGTAAGCCACGGAATTTATATCGAGCTCGCTGTTCCCGTGACCGGTAAAATGCATCTTTGGATGTCTGTATCCATTTATAATATCGAATGTTTGACATAAATGGAAACGTTGAATCTACGCGGAACAGCCTTGAATATCAACACTTTAATTGATACAATCTTTAAGAACTTACCGTGGGATCTTTAAAAGCGTACCCGGGAAGTTTGGGAAGTCCTGACATATTGTATAATAGCTTTAAACTGCACGTCAAATGAGAATAAACAATATCGATCACACACTTTTTCGTTCCCTGGACAACCAATTTCATTTCAACCTTTAATCGACTAGTCTAAGCATTCCTTGACTTAACATTTAGTTTTAATTGCGTACATTATCAATATAACCATATTAAACTCTCCTGATTTCTTCTGTATATCTAATTGTTTGGAATCGTTATAATGTAATGCATCAACGCATTAATGTTCATCGCCGCGTAAAAGGGCAAAAGAAGACCACAGAGGAGCAATTAACAGCAAGTATTGTTTTTTGAGGGAAGTGGGGTGCAAATTAAATATATGATCTTTTGATTTCTTGAGGGTTGGCGGGAAGATTTGTTATTTCCTTGCTGTGGCCCTATTAATGTTACAGAGAGTCATGAAGAGTAAATTTTTGAAAATTTATATTTTATTTTTAATCATACTTAAGAGTTTCTCCTTTCTCTTCATTGTATCAATTTTCAATTTATGTTGTTTATTTGTACTTTGATGCATTTTTCAATTATTTTTAAAATACATTGGAACCTTGCTTGACGAACATAATCCGTTCCAGAATTTCCGGATTTTTACTCGTATAATGAAACAATTTTCCCCATATAAACTAATTTAAAATACTATAATGCGTCCATGCATTTCATATATATGGTTATTTTTTTATTCTTTCTCTATTTATTCGGAGTCATGCAAGTATTATTAAATTTTTCACAAAAAAAAAATCACAAATAACATATAAAAATACAATTAGTATATGAACCCAAGTTTTGAAAATGATATAATAGGCGCACAATCTGAGACTCGTTTTGCAAAGCATCGCTCGTTAAGCGAGTCATTATTACAATTTATTTTGCTCGTTAAAGCGAGGTGCTCGTAAAGAGAGGTTCCACTATATTTGTAAATTTCATCTCTTCATATCATCATTATATGCAACCAACATTGATCATTCATTTTTTCAGAGTTAAGTGGGTTCGTATGAGAATCTATATTTCTTAAAACATTTACATTAAGCCAATTATTAATATACTATTATTATACAAACAAGAATCAAACTATTAGAAAATAATTGGTTGCAACCTTTCACTCTGTATTTTATATTACATATTTCTTTAATGCGCTTTAGCGTTGTACAAATAAATTACAATTATTTTATATTTTTACAACGTAAAAACGAATGTTGAGAGTAATCATCATAATCATCACATTGTCGAGAGTCCAACAATTCTTTAGTAACATTGGTCTCGAAATCTGTTGTTTGCAGTTTTTGGTAAGATAACTTGGGCACTCTGCAGCCGTTCACAAAGTCCAACGTCTGCGAACGGTGGTGATTTTGAATCTGAAAAATCATTGAGATCTGAAAATATGTAATAAGTTATTTTACATAATGAATGATGTTACCGAAGGATCTCTGAAACTCAAACCGGGTAACTTTGGAAGTCCAGACATTTCTGATCATATAAATAAGGAAATTACAAATAATTTTGAATGACATTAACAGTTTTCTCAGAAATGAAGTAACTATAGATTTCAACAATTACCTTACTTTTTTATATCATTTAACAGTTCATTTGATAATTGACGTAACAAAATATTTCAATCTAGATGTAATAGAGTGTTAATTAAGTAATATATAAATGTAATTCATTAATTAGTTTAAAATACTTTAATATATACAGTGGAACCTCGTTTAACGAGTTTAATCTGTTCCAAAATTTCCGGATTTTTACTCGTATAGTAAAACATATTAAATATACACATAATATGTGTACACAAGTATTAAAAATGATGTAGCAGGCGCGCTATCCGGGACTTCTCTTCTCATCATCACCCGTTATGTGAAACGTCGCTCGTTAAGCAGTCATTTTTCTTACAATTAATTTTGCTCGTTAAGCGAAATGCTCGTTATGCGAGGTGCTCGTTAAGCGAGTCATTTTTCTTACACTTCCACTGCACTTCTGGAAAAGAAGATACATAAAGAAAGCTAGATCATTTGGGACTTAAGTTGTAATAGTGATGATTAACATCTGTTAATATAAAAAGAACTGGCGCTCCCACGTACATATTGTATAATTTATAATGCCAATGAATTTTAAAGATTATTGTCCTTCGTTACGTAATTTGAATGATATAAATAAACGTGAATAATACATGTTTTTAATTGAAGTTCTCGCCACCAGCGCTGTTGTCCTTATTTAAATTTGACCTACCAGAATCCAATGGGACATGATATAAAAAAGTAACCGAAATAAAAGGACGTGAAATATAGGTTATGCCGCTGAAATAATAATTTCAAAATATTGTCTAATTTGTTTGCGCGTTTTATTGTTTTTTTACCAAAATTACTCAACTCCATTAATCAGGCTAATATGAATTAATGGCATTTTAACATTGGAGTAGTGAAGCTGTTGAAATCCCAAAAAGATGGCTTCATATGATATTCAAAAGGTTGTTCGAAATCAATATTCCTTGCAGGATTTCTTGGATGTACATAGCAGTGCAGGTAAGTGTTTTTAATTTTGTGTGCACTTACGTTATTATCATTTCAATTAAACTTTTTAACATTTCTCTAGATAATCTACTTAAGCTGTCTGGTTTCATATCGAACACCAAGTTTATGTGGATGACATGTGGTCCATACCTGGAAATAAGAGAAACCAAAACAGGCAACAAGATAGGAGATTACACTTTTGGAGCTGCTGCGAAAGACACTGATACTCAAATAACCTGTGTGAAAGAGCTAAATACACAATTCTCGGATAGCTCCATTTTGGTGATTGGTTTGGAATGCATCAATGGTGGTATGGTCTGCATCTTTGATAACATATCATGGCGGGTTCTGAGAGCAATTCAAACTCCTCAAAAGGTAACTTATATATCAGTGGTGAATGCAGGAAATGAGGATTCTAGTTTTCCTGGGCCATTGAACAATTTTGATGGAGCCCTTTCTGTTGGCATGTACCAAGGAGATATTTTAGTTGTTGACTTATGCAGACAAGCCATAAATGAAGGTAATTCTATTGATGACATTTAAAGATGTATACAATAATTAATTTATAAATTTAATTAGCACTGAAAATAAATGGGATTTCTGAAATCAAAGGAGAAGTGGATCCATCTCAATTGACAATTTTGTCTGTAAATGATATTAACAGTATTGAGCAATCCAGAAAAGCAGCTGAACTAGAGAACAATCATCTTGCCATTCATTTAAATGGTAATAACTAAGTCATATATAGTTTAAATATTGTATGACTGGATTCTTTTTTGTAGATGTGGGGAGGGCTCCTCATTTTATATTGAAAGGACAAAACGGGGAGGATCGCATTCACGTTAACAAAGAGGAGGTCGTGATCAGTTCCCTTCACTATGCGCCTCAATTAAGTTCCTTATTCGTCGGATTCAACTTTGGGGCATTGCAAATATGGGATTTGATCAACATGAATCTTATATACACATCGCCCGTATACTCGGAAAACATTCCAATTTCCTATTTCGCGATATTAGTAAGTAAATAGAATTGATACAAAAAATGATGACTAAAGTTCTACTAATAATTGTAGGAACCTGTCGACGATCCAAGAGCGTTTTGCTACTTTTGGGCTATTTACAGTAGCAGCGATACAAATGATAAAAGCTTCCCGTTAGCTGCCCTTTATTCACTCAGTTACGAATCTAAAGATTGGCACGAAGGTTACGGATACTTATATTCTGTATGGATCATAATGTCATTTGAAAAGAATTATTTCTTATTGCTAATGTACTGTTTCAGAATTTGTTGTCGTGTGCGGTCAGATTTCAAGCAGATTTAAGTATGATCGACAATAAAGATGATCTTGCTATTGGTGCGCAGTGCATCAAATTGGAATCATTCAGTAAAGGTTTGAATAGCGTTACCAATTCAATGCTTGAATACAATGAAGATTCCTACACTTTATGCGAAATGGTATGGAACGTCGTCTGCAAAAACAATATCGTCCACACGTACTTGAGTGTTTTTGACTTGAACCAATGGTACAAAGAACAAATGCCTAGTAAGTTACAAATTTTAAAAATATATAGTCAATATTTAATTTGTCTATTTTAGGTGCTCCGCATTATCATCAATGTAAATCTTATATGTCTATAGTCTGCATATCAGATTTGATTAAAAAACATAACTCTGAGACTTTTCCATTAATGAACGTGCACATTGACGGCGCCACGATAAGGTCGTTCGTCGGTGCCCAAAGGCTCGAAGAACATTATTATCCAGCTTCTCTATCCTTTGGTGAATACGATTTAAAAAAAAACAAAAATTGAACTTAATACTAAACATATTCTTAAATTTGCTCTTAGATTTGTGCTGTATTAGTGAAATGGAAATATACTTTGTGAAGAATCACGGATTGCAGAAACAGCTGTATCGGAACATGGAGATGGCCGGTCCTTTAGCATTAATGAAACCAGGTGAACTGTATCAATCCAGCATTACGTTGGGCTTGACTCCGCTCTTCATGGAATCCTATATGAATATAAGCTTGGTAAGGATATCTTCATTTCAATTACAAAAGGAACAAACTCATTCAAATATGAATCATTTACAGTTTGTTCTGTACAATTTGCTTGAATTTCAGCATTCTTAACACTATTGAAATATTCTGGCAATAGATAATCTATTATGTTCATACCTTCTTCCTAAAGATTTTGGCTGCATTTGAAACCTACCCAGGTAACATTTCCTTTTTCCTCTCAAACTCCTTAACATTAAAAGAACTGAAAATTATATGAAAAGAAATTCATTGATACTAAAAATATATATATTGATTTGATTAAAGGCCCAACAAAGGGAACATTTATTAAGCGTTGCGTTGGAAAACCGCATGGAAAGTTGGATTTGCAAATGCGCGACTTCTTGGGGTAACGGAAGTCACAGGGCAGCTGGACTGTCTCTAGATTTACTTCTGAATTGGGCCTGGCAACGTGCAAATACCTTGAAAAACAATGCTGATAAATTATGTAAGATTTTGCTCAAATTAACACAAATACTCGTCTGCATCTTTCGCACGTGCCGCTTAATTTTCAATGCAAAATTACAGGTGTTCCCTTGTTTGATCAAACTGGTACTAAAATGGATGCGAACTCTTCGAGCATGCTGAGCAAATGCAGAAAACAAATTTATATCCTGAAAAATGTGTACAGTTTTATATGCAACAAATGCTCGCAGTTCCTTATTAATCCAGGTATGGTCTATCGGTTTTTGCAGTTATGTGATTATCCTTGATTCTATTTATAGAAATAACGATCAAGCAAAGAGATTGCCTGACGAGAGTATATACTTATCTGGATGTCTTGGGATGGTTGATCAACGTGGGTTTGCTACCAGAATTTACCAATAATGAGCAACGTCCGGACTTGGATGAAGGTAAACTGCAATTGCCGTACTCCGTCGAATCCCTGAAGTCTTATTACAACGAGAGGTATAAATAATTCTTTAATTCCTTTGAAAAATTTCTTAAGACATTGTTTTAGGAGAGCCAATTTAAATATTTTAATTAAAAGTAATGATATTTACCAGAGTGACTTCTTATTGTATATAGATAAAATCACAGACATTGGCGGAGAAGCACTAGAAAGGTAATTTTATTGGTACATTTGATAGAGTATTTTTTTATTATTTATATATTGTAGAGAGTGGAAATGCGATGGGGGCACTGGCCAATACCCACCTTCGTCAATACAAGTCTTACTGAGAACTTACCTAATCGAGAATATTGACATGCAACTAAAGCACACTATAGTGACTTATTTATTACTGGATCTAGCTATGACTTTGGACGACGAACAGTGAGTACATATAAATGTTCGTATCCATTGTTTATAATGTTATTCTAGATATAAAACTATTCTACCAACTCTAATCAAGTTCCCGAATATATTCAACATGTCTCCAAGTGTTACAAAAATAATACAAGGTTTTTGGCAACTGGATCACGGTGAATTAGAGGTATTTATTATTATTTAAGACTGTCCATAATTTTATTAAAGACTGCATATGTTGAAAATCTAAATATTATACTTTATTTTTTAATTGTAGACTGCAACTGAAAACCTTAGTGATCCAATGATTAAACCGGCTGATTTAGAATCGTGGCAACATAAATACTTAATAGAGTCTTTAATTCTACAAGATCAAGAAAAAATGGCTCTTTTATATATGAAGGTATGAAATCATACAAATCAATTTATTTCAAATATGTTATATATTTAATTTTAGGGTCGTCAAATACCGCTAACAAGTATAGACGATATTAGGCTCAATATATCTTTACTTGTGAATAACAAATTATTATCTGAAGCATTTGCCTTGCAACGAAAGCATTTTGGAAACACAGAACTACTCGATATTATATTTAAAGGTAACTTCATTAGATCTGTTTGATTAAACGTATTCAAATGTATTGTTTATTTTTTTGTAGAGTGCTTGAAAACCAATCAATTGAACGATTTGAATAATTTGAATTTGTCGCGGATCGAAGAGGAGGCTTTATTTAAATTCATGAAGGAGAATTCCTATGAAAATGAAGTTAACTTCCAATCTGTTTACTATATTCAGAGGAGCCGAATGTTCGATTTCTATCAATCCCAGTGTGAAAATAAAGATAAAGTTCTCGAGTTCAACGTTGGTAAATGCATTACAGAAACACTCAGCGATTATATGCCGAAGATCGATAAGAAGATCCTGAATACTTGCATTAACCAGAAAGCAAAATTATTCAATAAAGGTAATATTTGTATAGTTGCAATCGTATTTATTAATTAATTTTTGTTCGTTTTCCAGAATTTGTCACCGAACCTATGTCGGTATTTTTGCACAATTCGAAGGAACACATGAAGTATAAATCGGATTTATTGATTGCCTCGATAACGAAAGCACGTGAAACTTGGCTGGCGGATTCAGATGTTGAGTCCAATTGCTCCTACAAACTCACAGATGAAGATTTTCCGTTCGTCAGGCCTCCGCTATATCTGCCGCCCCGGAAAAGGTTGAGATCGGATCTAATCTATCCAAAATTGGTGGACAACTTTCCCAAGGATAACGTCTCAGAGATACCAACACCGCCAAAGAAATCCAAGCTCAGTCCACGGGAGTCCGTGCATACTCCGGCCAACAATGATAGCGGTGAAATAAAGCGTCTGACGAAGATCGAAACGCCGATCATCGTGAAGAAATCGCTTAACCTGAAGGATCAACTGGATTCTATGAGTACAACGCCACAAAGCATTCTAAAGGTTAATTTTTATTACACACAGATTATTCTGCTGAAGAGTCAATTGCTATATGATTTGATGTTTTTTTAGGTGACAAAAGTACGGGATAGATCAAAATCACCGGTAGACCGAGGCAACTCTACAACTCCTGAAAACTTGGATGAAATCGACGATCTTGAAGACGATGATTATGATGTATCTTTTCTGCATTCTACTAAAATTATGGACAGTTCTAAATCAAAGGTATTGATATTTTATTAATTATGCTATACAAAAAAAATCTTACTATTTCATATATTTATATATAGATAAGTTGCGGCATTGCTCCAAGAAAATCTTTGATAAAAAATCACGGAGTAAGATTTTCCGGCATTAATAGGTCATCCAGTTTAACTCAGTCTGGCAGTGCGTCGAGCGAATCGAAATTTAATTCTTCTGAAGATGTGAATAATTCTCTTCAAATAAACCCATTACCAGAAGTCTCAGATATTAGCATAACAAATGTAGTTACGGAAAATAAAAGCACTTCGCTTTCCACCGATAACGAAACGTTTTACTCCCCTGAAGCATCCATAGAAGAAGCCGAGCCTGTGAAAGAGGAGAAATCCGAAAAAATGTTAACCATTCCGGAGATCTTCCTGAAACGTGAGAAGAGTCCTGTTCCGGGCAGTCCTAAATCCAGAAAGAGTTACAAAGGAGGTGATTACATGGTTAATCTTGTTTTTGCACGAATCACAATAACCGTTTATCTTATTGCAGACATCTTGGAGAGACCTCCAATGCGTTCCAGTCCACGATTAAATAAATCGGAAACTTCGAGCCCGTCCTCATCTTCCGCTACTACCAATGTAGAAATCTTAAGTCCAGAGCAGAATCTTAAATCTAAGAAACGAGTGTCGGCTAGGAAGTCTTTATCCAGAATGGTATTGGAAAATAATGCCATCACCAAAATGCGTTCGACGCCTGTAATCGATATCGATGTGGAGAAATCTTCGACGATCACTGTAGAAACTTCGTTTAGTAAAACGGAGGTTGTAAAGAAAGTGATGGGCAATGTCATCGAGGAGATAACCGATAAAATCGAGAGCAAAAATATACATGAGAAGAAAATCGAAGGAAACACCGAAAAAGTCAAAGTTGACTCGCACGAAGAATCCAGCAAAACAATGACTAGGATTGAAGAAGATCAAAGTATTAACGTATTCTCGTATGGACAACCCGATGATGTTTTCGATGAAGAAGAAGAAATGGATATAGATGAAATCGAAGATATTAGTGATAATGAAGGTAATATAATTTAGCGATGTTGATTGGATATTTTATAGATTTTCGTTATTAGATAAAGAAGTTTTCAATCTTGCAATTGAAGAGTTCTCCAATGGTTCAAGCAATACCGATTCTGAAAGTGACCATAACGTGGGGGTAATTGTCGATGCGGATTCTAATCAATCCAGTACAGACGGACATGAATCAACAGAAGGTAATAGAATTGAACGTTGTTGTATGTATATTGTATATATTGATTTCTGTTATCAGTTAATGAAGGTTTACGCAAAACACATTACACGACTAGCCGTAACGTAATCATCGAAGGGGATTCTAATAACTCCACCATCGTTTTGTCTATACCTACAGATGATAGTTCAGGTATTATAATTGAATGATCTCGTATTGGGTATTTTATTGATTTTTGTTCTCAGATATTTATAGTCAGAACAATACAGATTCTGAGATTGACCATAATGTGGCAGTCATTGACGAATCCGATTCCAATCAATCAAGCACAAACGAACCTGATTCAACGGAAGGTAATAGAATGAAATATTGTTATATGGATATTTTATAGTTTTTTTTTATATTCTCAGATAATGAAGGTTCTAGCAATTCAGATTCTGAGAATGACCATAATGTGTGCGTAATTGTCGAAGCGGATTCTAATCAATCCAGTAAAGATTCAACTGAAGGTAACGATAATAAATGTCCACGCAATAAACATTCTTCGACTAGCCGTAACGAAATTGTCGAAAGGGATTCTAGTAACTCCAGTGTGGCTTTGTCTATACTTACAGATGATCCTACTTCAACAGAAGGTAATACAAGTAAATGATGTTGGAAGGATATTTTATTGTTTTTTTTTGTCCACAGATATTGAAAGTTATAGCAATACAGGTTCTGAAAATGTCCATAACGTGGCAGTAATTGACGAATCGGATTCTAATCAGTCCAGCACAATTAATGAAGTTTCCAATGATGCAATTGAAGTGATCTCCGATGGTTCTTGCAATACAGAGTCAATTCTACCCAATGAAGTCATCGAAAGCGCCAACTCGAGTAGTAATACTCGCAACGATGCAAATAGCGATGTCAACATCGAACACGATCAGCGGATTACTGATAATGTGGGTAATAGTAGTTTGCATACTTCAACAAAACATGTGCAGAATATCAGAAGTTTGATGAATTCATCTGATGAAAGTGAACAACTTGTTTTACAAGTGTCCAGTTCGGATGAAGATGATAAAACTGCAGAAATCACTGAGTCCATCATTAAAGATACAAAAGAATCTACTTCTACTAAACGAAACAATCAAATAGATGTAGTCGAGAATATATTGATCGCTAAAGAAAGTAAGCAGGAAGATAATGAATCACTGTCAGTAGAAACTACCATTAATTTGGTAGAAAAAAATAAGTCGATGGAAAAAGAAGATTCCGAAATTTTAAAAGAGAGTACTACTTTGGAATTAGCGAAGAACGTGTCTATACAAGATGATGAATTAGATGTAACTGACGTAATCGTAGATGTAACATCCAAGAAAAATGCTGGTAGAAGAATGACCGATATCTTCGATAAAACTCAGTGGGTGAATGAACCGAAGATCGAATTAAATTTGACCGATCAATTGGAGACAATGGATGATAGTTATGTAGCCCCAACATTTAAACTCGGCGACACGTTTGATAATTCTAAATCAGGCAAGTTTTTCATTATAATAGGTTATATTAGTTTTATTGGTTTGTTTTGTTTACAGAAAGCGATTTGGCTTCCGAAATCAAAGAAGATATCCCTTCAGGTAAATCGTTGTACTTTTGAATTTTGTTTTTTATTTAATTTGTATATTTCCAGATGAAATTAAGCTTGCAGAGAATATAACACCAGAAAAGACGGTTGTAGCTAAAAGACGAAGATCGACTTCGGTTAAGAACACAGAAATATTGTCTCCAATAAAGACCAGAAGGCGATCATTAGCTGAATCTGGTACTAATTCACCGGTAGTAGATACACCGACAAGAGTGCTTCGTCCTAGACGCTCCAGCACTTCGACGGAATCGCCATCAGTGTCGGCGTCCAAGAAAGCAACGGCGCGCACCAGAAGCGCTAGTGTTGATGTCGAAGTGACTGTACCGAAGAGACGATCGATTCGCGCGAAAAGCGTTGATAATGTCGAGGAGGCTCCAGCCACGCCGAAAACCAGAGCAAGAAGAACCTCGACGGCTTTACCTGCAATCGATGAGGAAACTAAATCTGAAGCAATAACGGCTTATACCACAAAACGAAAACTTACCAGAAATCAAAAGGTTCTTCTTGAAAAGAACCTAAGCGATGAAAAGGGGGATTTAGATTTCGATAAATTAAATCCCCTCGAATTAATGGACAAAGAAGAATTTAAAGGTAATAACAATATTTTTGTTTACTCAATGTGAACAATAAAAAAAAACAAGATTTGAAGGAAGAACGAAAAAAAATATTTACAAATTCAATAGTTCTTTAATGCTGTTTATGTATTTTTAGGTGAAGCAGATCCAGAAGAACAAGGAATATTACAAAGTTCACCAACTTCTAGTATTGCAAGCAGCAGCGTCGATACTGCTCGCAGTAAGAAGACAAGCAGCGTATCTTCGAATCAAAAAGTCTTAACGCCTAGAAAGAGGAAAACTAAAGGTGTAACCGAAGATAGTCCTCCAAAAAGTATGTAAACAAATTATATTATCCAAATAACGAGAGTTCAACTGAATTACTTTTTAGTAGCTTTACGTAGAGGCAGAAGCGCTTCAGTAGAAATACAAGATGAGGCCGTCCCGTTAACGCCAACAAGAAGAACCAGAAAATCATCACAGGTATAGTGTGTTAGTAATATTCTTATGCACAAATTAAATACAATTTGTAATTTAGGATTCTGTGGCGAGTGATGCGTCTGTTGAACCAAGGAGATCATCCAGACGTAAATCGAAATCCGAAGTCTCCGGTAAATTATATAAATCAAATTAAAAGTATGTAACTTATTCAATAATTTCGTTTTAGATTCTGATGGAGAATCCGCAGCGGGAAAGAAAGGTACAAAGTTGAAAACCACGCTGAGCAAAATTAAAGAGGAATCGGAAGAAGAGATTGCGAAACCGAAGAGGGGACGCAAAAAGACAACGGATTAAGTGGAGGCCTTAGATAAATATGTATTATTAACTGTTTCTTTGTAAATTTTTATTTTAAATAAAATTGGTGATTTATTATAATCGATATATAAATTATTACACTTTACCTATTCCGTTGCATTTACTAAAAGTATGTACAAAAACATAGCAAGACGTTACCGTAGAGTCAGATGTAATTTAGAGTAAGCTATATATATATACTATTAGTCTTCGCTAATTGTTAACGCCGAAGATGATGAAGGAAGGTACACACACAACATTTATTCCTATTACGAAGCCATATATCCATATTAGCATACATTTAACGAAGATAATACTTTTCTTGTAATTTAGGTTTAAACGATGTGAGAGAATAGTTACTAGTTTCTTTTGTTGTTATTATTATTATACAATGATATTAAAGACAATAGCTTTCGCCTTTTTAAATTATTAAATAAATGTAATTCTGTTTTTGAAAATATATAAAATAAACTAGATACATTCAATATCATCATGTCTTAAAAAATTTATATTTCGCCAATACACAATAATAATTGAATTAAAATATAAGAAAAATTGCAGTACACCGAATTTCTTTGTTTTCTTTTATAATTCTACAACCATAGGCTGGACAAGACCATAGAATGATGAAGGTTTTCCTTTAGTTTGTTTTTAATATTAATGCACTACAACACGACATATGATGAGTACATTCCATATTTAATTACTGCAACTAGAACACAGAAAAAAATGTCCAGATAAAATTTAGCTAAGCAACATTTGTAATATTAATTACTGAATAAATAAAGGTGTAAAACAATATAGCTAAATTTGTGTCTAAACGAATTATTTTCGTTTAGCGTTATCCTTAAGAACCTTGGTCTTGAGATGCTGCTTGTATTGGAGGATATCACCTTGCCACTTTGTGCACGTTCCCTTTTCGCAAACCCAAATTTCTTGAGCGACCTAAACAAAAACAGAGTAATTACAGTAAATAGATCATGCGGTGGAGAGAATATTGTGAAATTACCTGACTAATCAGTCTGAAGTCGTGACTAACTAAAACCATGCCACCGTCGTAATCGTTGATGGCTTCTGCAAGAGCATCGATCGTTTCCATGTCAAGATGGTTAGTAGGTTCGTCGAGTAACAGCAAATGAGGTGTCTGCCATGCCAACCATGCAAATACGACTCTGCATCTCTGACCGTCGGATAATTGTCTAATCGGGCAGACCTGTTGCCTGCCTGTCAAACCGTATCTGCCAATGATTTTCCTCATTTCTTCGCGTTCCTTAACTTGAGGGAAAGCTCTCATCATGTAATCCAAAGGAGTCACATCCAAATCGAGCAGCTCGTGTAAATGTTGGTGATATCTGGCGATTCTCAAATGCGAGTTCTTCCTGATCATTCCCTCGGTTGGAACCAAATCTCCGTACAACAGTTTAAGCAAAGTTGATTTGCCGGCACCATTGGGACCCACGAGAGCCAACCTCGTGTCCAGATCGATACCGAACTCTAAGTTCCTGTAAATGAATGGGGTGTCATCGTTGTATCTAAAACTGACGTTCTGCACCATGATGACTGGCGGAGGAACCTTGCCACAGCTCGGGAAGTAAAAGTTCAATATTTTATCGCTGACCACCTTCTCGGTCAAACCTTGTGCAACCATCTTCGCCAAAGTCTTTTCTTTACTTTGTGCCTGTCTGGCCAACTTGGCGGAACCGTGACCGAATCTAGCGATGTAGTTCTTCATGTGGTTAATCTGGTCCTGTTCCCAATTGTACTGCTTCATTTGATTTTCGAGCAACTCCATGCGAGTTCTGACGAAAGCATCGTAGTTACCAGTATAATACTTAAGCCTTTTCTTATTTACGTGGATGATATTGGTACACACACCGTTCAAGAAATCCTATTTGAAAAAAAAGAAGAATGAATGATATCGTTAAATTTGTCGTTATGTGTCAATATTTACTTGTGAATGTGAAATGATGACCAAAATACGCTTGTAGTCTTTCAGTTCCTCTTCGAGCCACACACAGGCGTCCAAATCCAAATGGTTTGTGGGCTCATCCAACAGCAACAAGTGAGGTTTAACATAAAGAGCTCTGGCCAAAGCGATACGCATTCTCCAACCTCCGCTGAAATCTTTTGTTGCCTTCGCCTGCATATCTTTATCGAAGCCAAGACCGTGCAAGATGTTAGCTGCGCGAGCTTCGGCAGTATCTGCGGACATATCATCGAGACGTTCGTAGATGTCCATAAGCTGTTCTTGAGCTTCGTCATCTTCACAGGCGACCAATTGTTCAGCCAATTTCTCTAACCGCACGCGCTCCTCATCTACGTCCATTACACACTTCAAAGCTGACTTATCAGAAGCGGCAATCTCGCGTGTCAAATGGAATATATCTATATGATCAGGAATTGGAACTTCCCTATTACCCAGCACAGCCAAAACAGTGGATTTACCTATAATAATAAAATTTTCATAAATAAAAAAAAAAAATTAAATAACACTAAATATTAAGAAATCAAATTGTATTGTCACTTACCACTTCCATTAAGACCCAATAATCCATATCTACGACCACAATTCAATTCCAACATAGCATCCTGCAACATTTCACAGCCATGGAAAGTAATGGAAAAATTGGCAATTTTAACATCCCTAGACTTGGGATGCACTGCCAAGGATCCTGTGCAAGATCTGGCCTCAGCATTCAGCCTAGCATCAGATTCTAATTTGGCACACAATGCTTCCTCTGCTGACAAGGGCACCTCCTTGATGGTGCCATTAGTGGTTGTGCCGTTGACTTTCTCTTGCACATCATCCTTTTTCTGCTCAGCTGGTCCTTTCTTGCCAGCCTGTCTAGCCTTTGCAGCATCCTTCTTACGTTGTTGTTCGCGTTTCTTTGCATCAGACGGCATTCTGTGGCAAACAGAGATGATCATTAAATAAATTAGTAAGTGACAACCATTTGCATTGCTTCATCAAGCATTACCAGTGACTCACGCAACAATAGCGAACGGTAAAAACCACGTTTGATTGAGGTAAAAAAGGAAATTGAATATTTGGCAGATCGGTTTTCGCAAGCAAGGTCAATTTATTAAGTCCACATTTACACATTTTACTTACTCAGCCGTCTCGGATTACTTTCGTTACACGAAAACCGATCTTCCGGCGCATCTTTGCTTATTTACTTACGTAATTTCTTTTAATTTTGACTGGAACAGACAAACACCGATAAACACGTGCTGCACTTCGGGAAATTTTCCACCAAAAAGGTTTTTGATTGAACTGCAAAGTGTACGACAGCCTCGCGGAGTTACCTCTCCGTCGATGGAAGCTCCACCTTTCGGCGAACATCGTAACGACCTCTAAACGGGAACATTTCCAATTTTAGAAAATGTACACCAGTAAATTATAGATCAAAGAACGTTCTCAACTTATTACATCATTAATAATATTTGAAATTTTAAAATTTTTGAATATTTCTATTGTTTTCTATCAGTTGGCATCTCCACTTTTTTTATTTTGAATGTGTCACTGTCTCTTAAAAAACGAATCAAATCCATTATAAAACAAAAAAAAACTAATAACATACAATTATATCTAATTAATATTTCATAGCAAGACAAATAATAAACATAATATAATTTAATTAATTTAATTTCATTATAATAAATAACAATATTAATTAAAAATATTTCAAGGCGGGAAATTTAATTTTATTTTGTAATGAAGATAATCTTAATTTGAATATACTACTTTTCATTAATTTCCATAAGAAAATCGAATTATTTTTATATTAATTAAACAATATATTACTAATTAATAATATATCTTCTCAAACAAATAAACTTTATTTTAGTAAATAAAAACACCAACTCGAAGAGCGAAAATATAAATACACTTTGACTGTATATGTAACACGCTCGAAATGATAAAATATTTAATTTAGCAAATCAAATTTATTGAGATCATAGTCATTAGAATTGGCACAAATTTAATTCAAATATTATTTTGAAATATAAAAATAAAATAACATCTCCTCATATTTATATCATCGATAACATAATTAGAATATGTAAAATGTATAAAATATAAAACAAATGAAAAGTCTTTCATTAAATAAATAACAATATATATCTTTAGTAATCAATCTTAATTCTACGTTGCACGTATATATTGCATTATCGATTTTCCGTTGAAGAATTGCTTTCTAATTTCAAGCGATTACTGTGTTTTATCTGTTTTATTACGCGCAACACTTCCATTCGAAAGTCCAGTTTTTCATCCTCCGTCATGCCTACGATCGACGGCATAACGGACACGAAGAACGCCTCGTCTTCTTTGGGAACCTTAGCCTTTTTATCGAACTCACTATGGAGCATCTCCTCCGATTTTCGCTTGTTCTTCTGAACGTACTTATCCTCACGGTAACTCTGATCCGAATCCGCTTCGTCTTCGACGCCGTTCGAACGTTCGTTGCAAACATGCTCTTTCCTGTCCACAACATCCGTTGATCTGCACAGCTCGTTGAAGATTCCTTTCGTCAGTATCTTGTTGATGAGCTCCTCTGCTAAAAGCTTCTGGATTTCATCCATTTTTCGCAGTTTCAAGTCCCAACTGCACGTTAGGGCTTCGTACTCGTCGATGTGATGATTGTCGTTGGTTATTGGCTCCGTGTAGCTTTCCACAGAATCGTCATCGTTTATCTTCTCGTGCGTTCGTTTGTCTTCTGTTATTTTGATCAGGTGTGGTATTGAAGGTTTCACATCCTGAAACAATATTAATATTCATAATAACATTTAGATTCATGCCAAACACACAATCCAATCTTGTATCTTGCCGATAAGAATTAATTCGGAAAAGTGCGGAAAGCATTGCAATAATGGACTTCTTGGTCAAACGAATAATAAAATTGCTGTTCGATTAAAATATAACATTTCTTCGGTTCATTTCATTCTCTTATGTATGAAACAATTACGTCTATTCGTGCAGAACGTAAAACGATTTAGTATTTAAAAAAAATGGTCCTTTTGTTATTGTAAAGAGATGCAGAAGAAAATTGTGTAAAGCCAAACCGCAATGTGAAAGTCGGAAAGTAATTAAAAATTGGAACGCAACTATTTTTAGGAATAAATTAAATAAACCAGTTTTATCTTTGTTTAAATATAATGGATTAATAAAAAGTTATATTTAATTGAAAATCATAAATGAATGTATTTTTTTAGAATTATAATAATCTATATTAATTTTTTGTTATCATAAAAAATGTACATGTACATTCATTTTCCAATTCTAAAGAATTGATGTAACAAGAAATTATTTGCATTCAATGCCTCTGAAACTAATGTAAATTAACTAAAGTTTGTAATAGTTATTTATTATTACTAATTACTGGAATTATCTTATGCTCACTTTTCGCATGAATATTGCACATTGGGAAAAACAATCATTTTAAAAGGAGCAAGAGAAAGCTAGAAAACAGAAAGTAAATATTGCAACTAAAGCAATCGAAATTGTCCGAGTTACAAGATACTGACTATAAAATGTTAAAGTGGAATTTTACAAAAAGATGAAAAGATTCATTTGCGATAATTATGATTTTGTTAGTGGCTGATTGGACATCAAGAGATGTAAAATTTTAATAGAAAATAAAATAGATCTAATTATATTTTAATGTATGTAATAATGATCAAAAATAACTAAGTTAATAGCCCCAGTTTTTATCAAATTATAAGCAACACCACGTTTCTTTCTTATCACGTTTATTCTTAAGAAAGATGATCTTACAATCAAGATTTAGTATACCTTGAATTGTGGAAGGTTTTATGACTTTCTACTAACCTTTAACAATTCAGAAAATCCTCTTTCTAAACTATTTATTTAAAAAAAGTCCGGGTTATGGAAATATGAATCCAATTATTTTATTATTCATTAAAATAATTTATACCACTAATATCTATAGATAGTTTTAGTTACTCTTTTTGTAAATGCATTGTTTATATATTAATATACTATTTTTATTAATAAAATATTTAAAAAATATATGAATAATACTAATTGCATATTTTTTTTAAAGGATAAAGCGAATATTTTTTGCGTGATATTTGTAAATAATTATATAATAATATTACCCATGATACGCAAATGGATGTAGATCTAATTAACTATGCATTTTTATTCATAACACCACGTAGTATTCATAATTTAGATAATCATAGCACTTGAAACACAAGCCGAACGTTCGCACACTTCAGAGAATAATCGATTTATTTACGGGTGCGGTTGACTTAACTCACTTTACATGTAAATGTAACATATCCATATATATATATATATTATAATTAATTAGAGATAAATACAAAAGTAAATTAACAACTTTGTCTGTAAAATTATTTATATCTAAATCCGATATAAGTCTTCGAATTAATAAAGTACTAAAACTTAATTAAAATAACAATTTGTATGTTTGTAAGAGCATATATGCAATAAATTATAAAAAAATATTTATTTGAAAAATTATTCGAAGTATTTAAGTCTTATTTAATAATATATATTAAACATATTTTCAATAGCTCTAATTTGAATAAATTTAGTTCATTTAAATTCCAAGTAATCTAGCTTAGTCTAAGACTTTAAGTGAGGAGCGCATTATTTGACATTAACTCCAAATTTTAAACGTCAAAATGTTTCTTATTATTATTGTTCTTTTGTGGACTTTTTGATTATTTTAGTACTTAAATAATCCTTAGATTATTTAATTTCGAGTTCTTGATTAAAGTAATAATTGTATGTTATCAGAGAGATTATTTACTGAAGTGAAATTTTTGATTTCGCGCCAATTTGAAATGATTTGTGCAAATGTCATGACACCATTGTTTCCGGTATAGACGTTTGCATGGCGCTTGCATTTAGAGATCGTCAAGTTTTAATTCATAAATGAAAATCCTTTAAGAATTATTCATAGAAGACGGACGAGGACTACTTAAAATTCCAATTACTGTGTGCACGACACCAAACGTATTCCAATTAAAAGCGCATTGTGAATGCGTTCCTCCACATTTAGACTAGGAGCAGTTGCGGAGGTGGCGGCTAGAGAGTAAGTGAATAGTCATCGAGCGTTTACTTACAACATAGTCGAACCAGTTGGACGATTGGTTATGGGAAAAGGTAGTCGGCCCATCGTCCGCACCAACCAGCTCGCCCAGAAATTTCAAATCGTTGAAGAAAATAGACGTAGATTTGAACGGTTCCCCTGTAACCTGGCATTGCTTCATCTTTTTCATGTCCCGTCTGTACGTCGTCCTCAACGAGTTGATTTTCTTCGTGACGATCTTCCTGTTCGCCAACGAGCAAATAGGTTTGTACTTCTCCACGAGAATCTCGTAGGCCCTGTTCTTCTTGTTGCGATCGCTGTATTCAGGACTCTTCGTGTTCCACAGTTCCGGCAGCTGCCTGTACGTGTTTATGAACTCCCTGATTTCGCGCTCGCAGGTCGCCGACATCGCATCAATTTACCAAACGAGCCCGGTCGACGAGATTCCCTTATGCATTTGTACAAACTGTCAAATGGAGCACAAGCACTTGCAACGCCATCGATAAATATTTGTACAAATGGTACCAACCGACGGATTGCGCAAATCATTTGCGCACAATTTGAGCGCGTTCTCTTAATTGCCGTCTTCGCAATCAATACAATTTGCTCAATTTGATCACTTAACGTGTTTGTCCATTGTCCGATGTGGGTTGAGAAGCTCAAATTCGTCAAATGCACTCTCTCAAAATAGTATTTAAATTGCAACAAATTAAGACTTTATCGTCGCCAAGGCTACCACAAATGTAAATAACTATTACATTCAATATCATCACAAGAAGAAACAAAGTAACACTTTTATATGTCAAAGAAAAAGGGAATTTATGTGTTTATAAAAGTACTTGAATTCGGAGTAATTCGGGATTGTTTACGTTTGGTCCCCTTTGTTCATATTGAAGTATTACTTATCTATTTGTTTATACAATAAGACGTATAGACTAAAAGACTTGGTATCTTATACATAGTTTATTTATATACTCTAGTAATCCAACCATTATTATCAAACAAGTTAACAGATTGGCCCATAATAAAAATTCAGAAACTTCTTACCGACACGACACAATTTTGTTACTTTTAAATTCCACTCTATTTTTTACCCAATAAAGTTTTCTTCTTATATTTTATTAAAATTTTAAACACATAACTTCTAAATAATATATATAATGTTTTTGTTATTTGAGCAGGGGCGGATTTAGGCGTGCAGAGACGGACCGCTAAATTTGGGGACTTATAACGGCCATGCCTAAATCATCAAATTAGAGCTGTAGATGTGGTCTTTATGAGTTGCAGTTCAGGCTCAAACTAATCCAAACTTTGGGCAGTACGACTAACAATTTTAGCACACTGGTCCTAAACAATGTTATTCTTGGGAATCCATACAATATTAGCCCAGAGCCGCCGAATAAAGTTAACAGTCCGTCCCTGCATGTGAATTTCGAAATTTTCATTTATGTTGAATTTATAACAATTAAAATACTGAATACAGTGGAAGTATGTACACGAGAATTTGTAATTGTATTAACAAATTACGAAAATTCTGCCTTTATTTTCAATTAGCAATTCTCTGATAAGCGAAATTATGTTTGGTATTTATTTTCTTTTAATGTTTTTTGATCAATTAATCAAGAAATTTATCAAAGTTTCAAAATAATAGTAACTTAAATCTTTATAAAACATAATTACGTTTTTTAATAAACAAAAAAAAATGTTAATGAGTAGTTTATTATTGTTATCTAGCAGTCAAATTAATTTATACAATTTAAGTTTATCTGCTTTTGTTATATGTGATTTTTTCTTGTTTCAGGAGTTTATGAAAATATTTTAATATTTCATAAACATTCATCAACTGTTTATTTTCTCAATACAAAGAGAAACAACATCTTTGTAAAAAGAAGCAATTATATAAAAAATAACCAAAACAAAAACGGCAAACACAAGCATTTAGAAATTATCATTTATCTAATTATTTTTTTTTTTTATCTAAAATATCAAATTGAGTGAACTTAATCATAATTTTCTTTAATGAAATTTAATCAATATTAAAGGGTGGACATGAAATATGTTCATGCATAAATATATTTTCATATGAGTTACATAAACTTGTCTAACATAACATGTTTGACCGTGAATCGATTTAAAATTTCGTATTTTTGTAGATTCGTTCTTGCGCAACTATAGCCGTTCATCGTAACCCAATAACCATCGTCTGTGACAGTCTGTGATACGTTTAGGGTCGTTTGGTGCCGTCAGGTTGGTTATACTGTTATCGCTTGTGACGCTTCGCCATTTTGTTAAATATGTGTATATCCAACATCATGGATTAGCAGCAGATATAGAAAACTCAGTTCCAAACTTTATCGTTAAGTTAGATAGATTTAGCTTTAATTGGTGAAGATCGAACTGCAGGCGATTAGGAAGTGAAAGCACCCGATTTTCCAAAGCATGGTCCATATTTTTAGTAATCTCGCCGGCTTTTAATTTACGTTTGTACAGCGACTCGTAAACAGTAAATGATTTTCACGCAGTAACTCTGGTGCTCTGAATCCTTCAAAATGATGTACACTGTAAGTATCAATTGTAAAGATTATTTTGCAACACAAAATTCTCAATTTATGTATATATATACACATGATGCTTATATATATATATATATACATCTATATATATATTACCTATATATTTCAGGATTGAAGTATGTATTTTTAGGTACTTGTAATAAATCTTTGTTAGGGACCTTTAATTTCGACAATTGCATTTTCTGCTTTCGACAGTATATAAATATTAAACATTTCTTGATTTATATCAATTCTTGTAAATTATTTTCATTATTGTTAATATTCATAATCATTTTATTTCTGGTATGAATGATTCTAATTACTAAATAATTTGTTTAGGGTACAAACACGGAGCAGGATAATCGCTTCAGCGATAAAGAGAAGAAGTTACTAAAGCAGATGCGTTTTAGTGATTGTCTCAGTCAGAGGGTGAGTGACATAAACTTCAAATGCAAAGAAGCATGTGTGATTTGATTTTGTTTATTTTACAGGTGGATATGTCAAAGATTAAGCTGGAAGTTATTAAACCTTGGATACAAGAGAAAATTACAGAAATACTTAAAATTGATGATGATGTTGTAGTTGATTTTGTTTATAATCAACTTGATGAAAAGGTAAGCATTCTTTCTTTGTTTATTGTATAACCAAGTTCGTATTGGTACAGGTTGCAAAATTTCCTTGGAAATATGAATAATTAAGTTAATCAATCAATTTCAATAACATTTATGAAAAGTCATAATTTCTAATGTCTTGCTGTAGAAAATATTTGTGAAGTTTTAGGTTATAATTTTCAATTCACCTGCAGAAAACTTCTAAACAAAAAAATATTATGTAATTACTTGGGTAAAATGCAAATAGTTGGAAGTTATGTTTAATGTTGTACAGTTATTCTACAAAAGTTAATGTGTTGTGTTTTTGTTGCAGTATCCTGATCCTAAAAAAATACAAATTAATTTAACGGGGTTTCTGCATGGAAAGAACGCCAGAGAGTTCATGGCCGAACTCTGGGCTTTGCTGATATCGGCTCAGGATAACCCAACAGGTATACCGGATTCACTTCTGGAGATGCGTCGAGAAGAGATAAAGAAGAAGGAAGCCGAGGATAGGGAAAAGGAAAAAATTAAAATCGAACGGGATAAAAAATTCCGCGAAAGGGATCGTTCCAGGTCAAGAAATCGGGAGCGCTCGAGATCTCGCAATAGGGAGCATTCACGATCCCGTCGATCCAGGTCCAGATCTAGGCAACGACGAAGATCGCGCGATAACGATCGCAAAGACAAGCGCGATAAGTACTCAAGGTCACTGTCGAAACAGCGAGAGCTAAAAGTCTCAAGCAAACCTGAGGTAGAAAGCAAAGACAACGGAAATGCTAGTCCGAATGAACGTCACGACATTGGAAATAATGTGGATGCTGTTAAAGAAAATAACACTGTTAGAAATAACTTGTAAGTTAATAACAACCTCCCCTAGACCCGAATAGAAATTATTTTGAAATTTTGTTCACAGAGATCAGATGCATTCTGTTTCGAAATTACAAGCGAAACTTATAGCCATGGCAGGGAACGATGGCAAATCCCATTCGCGATCCAATTCAATGACTAAGTCCAAATCCAGATCGAAGTCCCGCAGCAAATCCAAATCCCGATCGTCCTCGAGGTCACGTCGTTCCATGTCAAAGCGCCACTCCACCTCTAGATCTAGGTCCCGCACGGAGAAGGATAAACGAGACTCCAGGTCGACATCGCGGAATTCGAAGAATAATTTTGAAATTAGAAAAAAGGATAATAGTGTACAGAAGAAGAGACACTACAGATCAAACAAAGACAGTTCGGATAGTGAAGATGATAAGCATAAGAGGAAAAAAAGTGTATCCAAGTCGCCAAAACGGAGAAGTCGCGAAAGAAGCGTCAGGCGTAGACGAAGCAATTCTCGGAAGAGGAGCTCTAGTCGGAAACGTAGTTTGTCGAGAAGGTAACTAATATAATCGATTAAATTTATATTTAATTTTGACTATCGCTATTCATTTTAACAATTTTTGGGCATACAATTCTGTTTTATTTTTGAAACACATAATTGTGTCTTGTCTAATTGATTTATTCAATATTTCAGTATGTATGTATTTGCAGACGCAGTGCTTCGAGAAATAAACGTAGTTTAAGTCATAGACGGAGAAGGAGTCCGTCGAGGAACCGTAGAAACAGTCCCCGCAGAAACAGCTACAGCAGGAGACGTAGTCTGAGTAGACGAAGGAACAGGAGGAGCAATAGCAGAAACAGGAAAAGTCCCAGTCCGCGGCGTAGGAGGAGTCCAAGTCCAAGAAGACGACAATCAAGTCGAGACAGGTAATATAGAAATACATATTCACCTTTTATTGATTTATTTAAATTATATATTAAAAACAACAATAATTATTTGGTGTAATTTCAGGAGAAATAGGAGAAGCAGAAGTAGAGATAGGAATTATAGGCGTGTGTCTAGGGATAGAAGGCGGTCAAGATCTCGCGATAGAAGCTCCAGGTCGAAAAGGCGAAGTTCCAGAGACAGAACTGAAGTTAGACGTAAATCGCCTATAAGAAATCGGTCAAGACAACCTACCAAAAAAAGTCCTAGTCCAAAAAGAACTGAAAAAGAAAATTATGACGTATCGAAAGATAAGAAAAAGGAGGTGCCACCTAAGAAATACGATGAGAAAAAGGAGGAGCCTCATCCAAAACCACAAGAATCGAAGAAGGAGGAAATAGCTTACAAGGAGAAGGAAAAACATGTAGATAAGAAAGTGGAAGTGGCAGAACCGAAGGTACGCAAGAAGTCTAGGTCCAACAGTAACTGTTCCGAAGTGCAACTAATTCCACCACATGGACCACCCAGATATTCACGAAGCTTATCGAGAACTCCCTCTCCGTTCATTAAAGCTAATGAATTCCCTCCGAAATCGAAGTCGACAAATTCAACCAAGGATGAGAAGAAGAAAACAAAGGACGTTAAAGATAACAAATCGAAGAAGCAAACTAAGAAGAGAAGCGAAACCGAAAGTTCGTCATCTTCTGACAGCGATTCGGACCATAAAGATGTGGTTAGGAAGAAGACGAGGACAAAGAAGAAGAACAAAAAACGAAATTCCAGCTCAAGCGAAAGCGAGGTGGAGTACACGTCGAAGGGTCGTAAGGATAGTGACGATGAGAAACCGAAGAAACGGGAATCTAGAAAATCTAAACGCGATAGCAGCGAAGATAAAAAGAAAAAGCGTCACGGTAGTCCCGAGGCAAAGGACAAGAAGCCGAAGAAGAGAAATAAATCATCTTCCGATGAAGATACAAAAAAATCAAAGAAAGATTTAGATTCCTCCGATAGCGACGAACCGAAGAGCAAAAAGAAGAGAAGGGCGAGTACCGACGATTATGAAAATGAGAAGAAGGAGAAGAATTTAGAAAAATCTAAAAAGTACAAAAAGGAGAGTTCTTCGGAAAGCGAAGAGGATGTGCAGAAGAAACGGAAACATAAGAAAATGAAGGTTTCGAAGTCCTGCAGCGATTCCGATGAGGAGATCGAGAAAAAGAAGAAAAAGGACAAGAAACACAAGAAAAAGAAGAAGCACTCCAAGAAACATAAGAAGCATAAGAAGAAAAAGGTGGAGAGCGATGACTCTGATAACAGTGACGTGGAAATAATAAATGATGACGAGAAGAAGTTGCGCGAGAAAGCCTTAAAATCGATGAAGAGACATTCTAGTGAAAAATCTGAGTAATGGTGCTCTCTCTTTCTCTCTCCAAACCGAGGACAGGATACACAACAACAGGACAACACAACAAACAAGACGTGACACTTTTCATCGGAAAAAAGCTGTTTAGATAATTCAACAAGATTGAAACATTTATATGAGGGCCTGCAAAATGAATTTATTGATGCTAGTTATCTGGTTCCAGTCCCTCATATACATTAAGTAATTAATTATGTAACTTACTATTATTAATTTTATTTTCATTCATTCCGTAAATTATCAGCAACGTTTGAATGTGAGTAAGAAATTGTGTATTATACATTTTGTGTAATTAAAAGTTGAGGTTTTATTTATAACTCTTTCCTTTTTTATAACATTGAAATACTTGCAAATTTTTATACACGATTTCGCTTCGTGTTTGCAACAACGCATAAGATGGCAGAAGAGCAAAATAATTGATATTATCTAGGAATGCGCGATGTAGTAGAAGAAAACCCTGCAAACAAGAATTGAAGTGAATAAAGACAAACAACATTGAATATTATTTGAATTGTTTTGAAAGATTTATTAATTTGATTCATTAAGACGAAAGGAAACGATGACACTTGTTTTTGAAACTGTTCTTTCTTTAAGCAGAGTTCTTTGTTTATTTATTTGTTTAATTAAAAAAAAACTGATGCGTTTGTCGGATGTGTTTAAATGTTAGTTTGAGAATTGGACGTGTTTTGCGTGTGAATTTATATTATATAACTGTTAAGAATATTATTTTATATTAAAATAATATGAAACTTATCTTACTTGCCAAGTAAGACGCTGATATAAAATAAAGAGTACAATAGAATAATAAAAACAACCTTGTTAATATATATTGTATATTAAAATTGCCGATAACACTTGCAGGATGCTTGAGACGCAGCAAAACGATTTTCCTATTTATCGATTTTGGCAATTTACTTACTATCTCTCGCACGTGCCAACCAATCGAAACGTAACGCAAGACTAGAGCAACAATTACCTACCTAAGATAAAATATATGTATATATTATAAAAGCAATATTTTGTACAAACCATTCTGTTATAATTTCAAAGATGGAACTTTAAATTTTGTAACAAAAAGACAACAAAGCGAATGAAATCGTTCATAGCATAGAAGTATTTATTTTTTTAAGCGTAAAATTCATTATTATATTTGGTCTGAATACAATATTTTGCTAGCGATTCTTTACTTTCACTCTCGATCTTCCATATATTGGAAAACGAGACGAAAGTTATTTCTCATTAGAAGAAAATGCTCATTCCTCTGGGCACTTAATTTAATTATTATAGTCTTTGCTTTTCATAATATATTAATCGATGAGAAAATGCACGTATACTTAAAAAAAGAGAACAAAATGTTGAATTTTTAGTTACTTAAAATGTAAATAAAATAATGTTTCTAATAAATAAATGTCTTTCATTGACTAGAATCACAAATGAAGAATTTTCTCCCGGGAAATGCTTTTTGATCGATCAATTTCTATTTTCATCAAAACACTTGAAATAATCTTCAATTTGGTCGTCATTTAACATAATCATACAATGTCCATGCAACGTGTTAACTTTTCGTAAATTTATCATAAAATAAAAGCACTGTCAACATCCAAGAGAGGTTGAAACATACACACGAAATACGAAAAAAATACATCAAACATATGACAATACCTTGAGCAGTATAAAAGATTTTTCATTGTCCATTTTAATGCAGCTGCGCCCGTTTTTAGACTTTCAATTTGTAGTCTTGCAAATGAATACAATGCAACTCAAAACTGGTTCTATACAAAGATTTAAAGAGCAGATGATAAAATAAATCTAAATAAAAATATGAGAACTACAAATGTGTGATAAAGCATTGCAATAAATTCTCGTTGATTCTAAGCCAAATTGATGAAAAAAGTTATAACTGATTTTAATTTATAAAATGTTCTTTATAGTTAAGATTGTCGGCTATACTTTTTTTTTATATAATTAAATACATGAAAAGCTGACGCAATTGAAGAAAGTTGTGTGTTGTGATGTTCAAATGGAAATATGTTTGTTTTGTTGTATCAATCTTATTACCATATTTACTATGTTTTTAGATTATTTCTGCAGCATTTACTAGGAGGCATCAACCAATTGTATAAATAGTGTTGCCTTGATACAACTTCTTCATCACACAAGTTACCTGTCTCAATAATGTTTTGGTACAATTTTTTTATTTGCTGAATGGAATGACTGTGAGATATTAAATAGTAGTTTTGACACCCTCTAGTCGTCCATTCCGTGTCGAATCGTATATCGTGTATTCTAATGACATTATTAACTGGAGCCAGCCAAGCGCCAACGCTAATATCCTCTGAATTGTATAATCTGCAATTATTAAAATATTTAAATACATTTTTTCTTTCAATAATACACACAAATATACCTGAGATTGTCAGCATTATCAGCCAAGTATTTGACCAAACCTTTGGAAATAATGTACCCTCCTCCTAATGCATAGGGAATATAATTATCGCACAAGATCCAATTATTCTCTTTCCACTTTCCGCTCGTTTTGATTTTCGCGTTTCCATTGAAGTAGCCCCAATACAAATTAAACTTATCCGATGCCACTTTCTCATTAAACTGAGCATTCAGCTTAATGTATGGCGACATGTTGGCATTTAAATTATTCAGATCAATTTCAGATTTCAAATACAATATCTCGATCTGCATAATTTCCTGTGCCAAACTATCAATTCTCACAAAGCTATCATCATCACACTTCAAGACATACTTAAATCCTAAACCAAAGTCAGTTTGTTCTCTAAGCCAAGTAAAGCTCTTGAGGACTTTGTAAGTTAAATTCTTGTAGCTGTCTTGTATTGGGAGGATCAGCATATCTCCGTGCAGAGATTGCTCAGAACTCAAGTGCAACACTTCATCAATGCTCAGACCCAAGCTTCCAATAACAAAATAATGCTTGATCTTGAATTTAACATTCTCGTTGTTTACATCAGGATAATGAATCTTCAACTTTAGCCACGTTTCTCGTATGGCGTTCCTTCTATCCAGGTTTTTAGGCGCAGATAAGATGAAAATAATTAAGTCCGGATTTTTCAGTTTAGCGTTGTTCATTATGCTGTATTCTCGATCGTTCTTATCAATTTGGCATGTCTTCTCGATGGGATACAGGTTGATAGCTATCATACATCCAAAAAGGAAGGACAGAGCAGAAATTACAAATAACTTGTACTTATAAAACTGTATCATTGTTAACTGCTTCATTGTCTTAAGTTATATTATTTGAGGTTATTTTAAACAAAACACCTTTGCAGTTTTGACATTTAATCAACTCGCACCTGCTCGCACCAACTTACAAAATAAAATATTGATTTCTTTATATTTGAACAAAACAATTTTATATTTGAATATGCTATAAAAGTTCATGTACAACTAATATACAATATAATTTGCGTAAATATTTTTGATAAAACATATTAAAAATTTATTTTAACATATGTTCGTAGTTTGTTAAAGCGTTGGTTGGTAGGCCTGTCGTAAACAAAGTACTTTAAGTTCGTTTCTGTAACGGCTTTTTCATTACAAGTTTGGTTTTCGTGAAAGAAAGTTTTAGTACAAAATATATAAGTTAAGATGGGAAATTACGCAAGTAAAGTTGTCGAGGAGATAAAAGAGGAGAAGACCGAGTCCTGTTCCGTTCCAACAACGCCAATTCTAACTCCAAAAGTTAAAATTTTAAGTGAATTTGATCCAAGATCTCCAAGTACAAACATTGTTAGAACTCCAATTCAGGTAAGAATATCAATTAAAGTTGGACATTAACGAAATTCTAAATATTTAATTCATCTTTATAGAAATTATCAAGTCCAAATGATTCTGGCATTAAAGAAAATGAATGTGATTCATTCAATATTGGATCTCCTGTTCCAAAGATGTTATTGCAAGATCCTCGATCTCCAACATATGAGTACATGAGAACACCAATTGTTGTATCTGCAAATAGCTGTGAAAATCAAGCAGTGACAAAAAATCTGGAAGGTGTTAGAAAAACTCTTACACTGATCACCCCAAAGAAGATCAGTGATATGTCCAGTCATGTGCCACCAAAGCTTCTGGAGAGCAGTCCAGTAACTGCCAAACCAAATGATAATAAACGCAAATCAATGGTTGGTGTCTTAGAGACTAACCTGGATTATGTGGAGACAAATATTGATGAGGTAATCACAAACAAAGTGGCACTTGTGGATGAGGAGACTGTTGAAAGCAAGGAGAGTGCATCAGACTTGAAAATTAAATTCTTTGAACAGAAGACAAATGAAGATAACTTTGAAGCTGCATCATCAAGTAATGGAGATGCTTCATTGAATAATACAGACAATAAGAGGGTTATTGTGGATGATGATGGATTAATAATTAAATCCAGCAGTACTGTGGAAGAGGATGAACCAACACCAAAAATTGATGAAGCTGCACCTAAGGTACAAGATAAAGTTCAAAGTTCTGAGCAGGAGTTTGCTAAGAAAATAGCAACGCTGATTTACACAGATGAGGATAGTGTTTTGGTGAACAGGCAAAGCAAGAAGCAGAAAGAGTGCAATCGCAATCCTTTGGGCATCAGGAATGGTGTTCCGAAGTTGAAAGTCAGCGATAAACCGAGGAAAAACGAATTTTCGACCTGCAAGATTCCGATTTACAGGAATAAATTGTCCACGCAGTGCGAAAATACCCCGCCAAAATCGATGGCCAACGTTAAAGCGCACAGGAGTAAAGTAGCTCAATGGGATAGTGATAATACTTTAATTATTTAGTTTTTTCATCTTTGTACAGTTCTTTAGATTAATTTTTTTTTTTTACTTTGTTTATGTTTAGGTATTTAATTAAGCTTTCTCGATTTTAATTTATAACTGCATATATAATACTTGTTATTGTCTTTGTGTCCCAAATAAATACTACAATTGTAGAAAATTGTAATAACAATTATTGTTTCCATTAAATTATCCACGTCAAAGACTATTGTTTTTCAACTTTTCTTTTCCATTTTACTATTACTGTTTTTGAAAAAAAAAGTATTTTAACTCTTGTTCATTTTATATACGATGTTTGGAAAAGTTAATTATAGTTTAATTCATTAGTTTTTAAATTTGAATATAAATAAATTATTTATCCATGATCGAAATAATTATATTCAAGTTATAAATAGCAAAATTATATCTTTCAACCTTTTATTTTTAATATTCGAAATGTGTTTATACATTTTTGGGAAGTAAAAATTTGACTTTAATACACGTATTGATGTTTTAAAATTATCTCTAAACAACCTTGATTATAACCTTCAATCCACTTCAATTATAAACACGGCGCCAGTGCTTCGTTCTGTCCCTTCAAAATTCGATTTCTAACATCGATAACTGCAAAATTTATGCACAGGGTTAGTATTTAGAAGTTTTTAAGGTGCTAATTAATCATTAAAAATTAATTGCAGATGGCTGCTCTACCACCAGCAAGTGTATTAACGCAATTGTCGGCGAACAAGGTTTTTGGAGGTTATCAAAAGATCTTTTCACATGAATCCTCGGTGCTGGGATGCACCATGAAATTTGGGGTTTACTTCCCCCCGCAGTACGAGGACAAACCTCTGCCCGTCATTTTCTGGTTGTCCGGTTTGACATGTTCAGAGGCGAACTTCATCGAGAAGTCTGGAGCCCAGCGGTATGCAGCCGAGCACGGCGTTATCCTGGTCAATCCCGACACATCTCCGCGTAATTTGAACATCGACGGTGATTCCAAGGACTGGGACTTTGGTGTAGGCGCCGGGTTCTATGTGAACGCCACACAGGAACCATGGAAGACGAACTACCAAATGTTCAATTACGTTAATTACGAGCTGCATTCGACAGTCGCTGATAACTTCCAGGTCACCGGGGCCCAATCTATCATGGGCCATAGGTAATGGAGAACAGATTACGAGAATTTGCTCTTTACTCTTTAATTTGAATGTAATGTTCAAGTATGGGCGGTCACGGTGCTCTGGTGTGCGCGTTGAAGTTGCCCGGTTTGTACAAGGCCGTTTCCGCATTTGCACCGATCTCGAACCCCATCAACTGCCCATGGGGACAAAAAGCCTTCTCCGGGTACCTGGGTCCAATGGAAACGGGAAATTGGGAAGAGTGGGACGCCAGCAAACTGGTTAAAAAATACAACGGTCCACCTTTACCCATCTTCGTTGATCAGGTTTTTAATAGTCGTCCCTTTTAAAAACACCTCGATTCTATTTCAATCTTGTTTCAAGGGAACCGGCGACAAGTTCTATAAGGAAGGGCAACTCCTGCCAGAAAATCTGGTTGTCGCATGCAAAGACGGCGCCAATCTTATCAATTTGGTACTAGAGATGAGGGACAGTTACGATCATAGCTACTATTACATCTCCAGCTTCATCGGAGATCACATCAAAAGGCACGCGACTATCTTGAACGCCAAATAAATTTCGCGTATTCGCTACCAAAAATATCGTTGTAGATCGAAATAAATAAAACAATTTATTTTTCCAACAATAATTTTATACATAACATCAATACTCGTTGGATCTACATCACTTGATCGAGCCGCGCAGATCATGCCAATATTGCAGGATCGGATCGCGTTTCTTCCACATGTGCTCGTTTCCCCAATAAGCCCAGCCACTAGAAATTACAAGAAAATATCAAAGCATTAAACATATTTCAAGAAATACTACATCTTTATAACAGATTTTCATGAGACATACGCCTGCCCTATTACTAATGGGCGTGATCTAATCCTACGTCAGTCAATACTGTTACTTGTACTGTATCAAATTTTGATAAGAGAGTATTCTAAAATTAATATTACTTACATTCCGCAAGCTGCACCACCTAAGTGAGCTGCATGGTCAAAGAGCTTCCATCCCATAAGGACTCCTGCTGTGTCAATGCCGACTATAACTTTGATTGCCTGGAACATATCAAAACGATTATACCCAAATACAGTAATAACTAGAATAACATACAGCTCCTGCAGAGAACGTTAAAAATGGTAACAAAATAATGCCCAATTTTGTATCCGGATATTGCGTGCAAACGTATCCTAATATTGCCATAATAGCACCAGACTGAAACAAAATATCATTAAATGAAATGCATTACAATCAAATTTACTGTATTACAGCTCCCAAAGAAAGTCCTGGTTGTCTTGTTACAGTTTTATATAAATAACTGGTAAAACTAGAGATTACTCCAGCACTAAGATATAGACCTAGGAATTGTTCTTTGCCTAAGGTAGCTACAGCACCTGAAACATCGATTTTTATAAGGTTTTATTATTTACATTTTTATTAAATTATATATATTACCTGTACTAAAGCTATGTAGTACATACATATTTGCCATCAAATGGAAAAATGAGTAATGACTGAATGTTGATAGTAACATTGGTAAGCAAACATTTTTGCTTCCTGGGTTGGAGCAGAAATATTTGAGCATAGTTGGTTGGAACCTGGGCACTCGCCACGCCGCGAATACCAAGATATTTAGGAAAAATATTGGCACAAACACTTTCTCTCCTGTACTTAAACTATTCCATAATCTATTAATTTCTCTACGAATTTCACCCTAAAAGTAATAAAATGTATATTTTTCTCAACTTTTACAAATGTATAATGGATCAGCTGGGATTAAGGTGTGGGACATACCAAAGCATCATCTACCTGTTTCTGAACAAATCCCATTGGTCTTTTAAGCATTTCCAAAGCTTTCGACCTCATATTTTCATAATGCCAGATGACAGCTCCACCGAAACATGCTGAGCTAAACTGCACACAATTACGTTTATATCACAGCTGCAGTGTGTTTCCTTGTAAACTTACAAGAATTGTGAATCCTAATGGTTTCCATAAACTGTTCAACGAGATGTTGTTTACATTCACTGAGATATTTCCAAAAGGGGAGGAATCTAAATCGGGCCTTGGTTCCTCTGCTCGGGTACGTTTAAAATGTCTCACGTTTGTTCTGAAAGACTTTGGTGGCTGCAGCAGGCTACAATTTTTGAAACCACTGTAACCACAAAATTAAAATTGATTTTTTCGAAATGCTTTTGTGTTCCTACCAAATTCCATTTAATTTTAACATTCGACTTAGTGCCATATTTAATAATTATTTCCATCGGCCGTTCGGATATTAAATATTTGTTCTACTCATTCAATGTACATTTAAAAATAATAATTTGACATAAGAATGTGTCATATGTTACCAACTGAGTCCAATCCAGTCATTTAATCAATTTTGGCTATCGTTTTCAGGTTGGTATACTGTACAAGGCATTTAATTTTTTTGAAAACCAGCCAAAACAAAGTCTACTTAGCTTTAATTTTAAAATAAAAATACTTTAAATTAAAAAGTTTTGATTGAAAAATAATTTTAATCGTTCTTACACATATATCCACTTTTTCATAATAAAAAAAACATTATTACAGTACAAGTTAGCGGATAAAAACAAATATATATATATATATGGGTATCATATTCGAACGCTAAACTAAAATCATTAACAAGTGTGATTCCAATAACAGAAATGGATAGAAATGTAAATGGTACAATAAACGTATTAAATGATTACAAAATTACTTTCTCGATTTCTTCGAACTTCTTCTTTCTCCGCTGTCTTCCCTGCTACGCTTCTTGTCGTTGGACCCGGAGGAACGATGTTTATCTCTGGACGAATCCTTTTTAGAGGACGAAGAAGAATGGTGACTCTTGGAGGAATGTTTGTCTCTAGAGGAATTGTGCTTATCCTTAGAGCTATTATGTTTGTCCCTGGAACTGTTATGTCTATCTTTGCGTTTCTCGTGCGAACTGTTATGTTTATCGCGACTTCCGTGTTTATCGCGCGAACTATTATGTTTATCTTTACTGCTGATGTGTTTGCTCGAAGACGAATGCTTGCTGCTGTGTTTGTCACGGTGTGCGAATTTATCGCCCCTCTTTCCTTTTTTACTATCGAAATCTTCCCTGTAATCGCTCCTCTCGCGATCTTCCTCTGCAGCTTCCCGTTCAAGATCAGACCAATCTTTTCCAGATTCCTCGTCGGTTCCTGAAATTACAATCGTAATTAATATTTGCCACACCAAACCAGTTAAATTTGCTAATCTTACCTAAACTTTCTTCTGAAGCGCCATCGCTTTCCGTGTCTCCTTCGGAATACTCGGAATCTTCCTCGCTCTCTTCAGAGAAGGAATCCGCATCGGTGGGTTCGTAGGCTTCATCCTCATCTTCACTGTCTTCTTCCATTACCTTTTCCTCCTCATCGGATTCAGGATCCAAGAATGTCCATCCACCGCTGTCAAAGAACCCTTCGGGATCGTCTGTGATGGTCTTCATAATTTTCGCCCAATTCAACGATTGCACGCCCTCGGAATATCTGAAAGCAGATCCATTATTAACAACTGCAATCAAATTACCTACACAACCATATACCTTATATCACACGAATTCAGCCATTCCTTTACGTGATCCAGCAGGTTCATGGGTATCGCGTTAACCATCGATATTCTTCTGGCGTAATCTTTAAATACGAAGACCATATCGAAATTTTTCAAATGGAATTGCACTCTCTCAAAGTGCACCAACTCGACGTCCTCTAGGGTGATAACGAATGGTGGCCATTCTGTGAGATTCACCAAACATCCTGACGTCGGTTGCAACAAGACCGTAGAACGGAACGGAGCACCAGGGAATCCCAACTCCCTGAAAGGCGTATCGAATTCAATTTCTTGCTTGGTCATTCCTTCGACCTGTTACAAAAATTAAACAATAATTAGTATAAGATAGTTAACATATTAAAATTATATTTACCTTTTCACAGAAACTTTTGAATGCTGTTTTCAGTTTATGTCTGAGTTCTCGTTCCGATTGTTCAGCGGCAAGATCGTCCCTATCGTGCATATGCTGATGCTTTCCTAAATCCGTTGTTATCTCACCGACTTCCGTGTAGAATTGGACGTCCACGTGCTTCTTCTTACCGAACATAATGGCGTGTTTTAGATGGAAATGCAAGAGGATGATCATCTCGCCATCGCAAGGTTGGAAGAACGCATTCTTGATATTGTTATATAATATGTCGACCTATAAAAAATAATATCAAAATTTAATATAGAGTAAGCAATTAGTGAATTCAATGAATTTACCTTATCACCACGAACTGAAGTATATCTGAAACCATTACCATGGGCCTCCAATGAACCAGTCATTCTCTTTGTTACAATATTGGGTCTTATGTACAAATCCTTCAATTTCGGATTACCCTTGTTCTGGGATAACAAAAGCGTATCCTGCTTGACAAGATCCTCCTTTTCCCTCTCTTCGGCTTCTCTCGTTTTAAATTTACGTTGTACCTAAGATAATTCATAAATAACATTAATCATGTTTTTCAAAGCATCAACTTTGACTTACCTCTTTAATTAACCTGAAAGCTGTGTTTAAATTGGATGACGGCGGTGACAGCTCTCCGGGTTCCTTCGTGTTGGTGCTTCTATAAGTAACTTCCTTCACGAATGTAGCATCCGGTTGCTGGTAAGTACCACCCTCGTTTTTACCCATAGTTGAACCGGGATGGAAGAAATTGATACGTAAATAAGTATAATCGCCTTCAACGCTCTGAGAGATATTCTTGATGGTGCTTATGTGAAACGGCACAGGGACACCATAAACTGGTAAAATAACAGTTTCGTACTTCTGATCAACATACAGTTTGAGCTCCTTGACTTCCTTAACTCGCGGCATTTGATTAACATTCTTGTACGAGATTGTGTTCTTGCGAACCTTCTCTACATCCTTAGCTCCACCCTGCTTAGCCAATCTCTCTTTAGCCTTCTCATTTAAGGCTATAGCCAATTCCTTCTGATGCTCCTTTCTTTTTTCTTCAGAAGTATGCTCTGATCTCAACTTATTTTCAATAACAGCAGTTCTCTTCCCTCTGCCCATCATTTCTGGTTTAGGAGTATTCTCTTTCTCTTCATCATTTTCTTCCTCTTCAGAGTCATCCTTCAAGAAAATGCCAATATTTTTTAATTTCTTCTTGGATACTGTGAGTACTGTAGCTGGTGAACCATCATTCACCATTACTGTATCTCCAACAAATAAAGCATAAATTTTGCCTTCCTTGTCAGAAGTTTCTTTATTTTCCAAATTACTGAAGCCCAAATTCAAATTGAAGATCATACCTTTCTTTGCCACTAATACAGTTTTAGGGGCAATTGTTAGAGAATTCTCTTTGAATTCAATGCCAGTAACAAACCCAAAGTTTTTGGTTAAATTATCTAATAAGGCAGGCTTCTCCTTTTTCACAAAAGATACACCAGTTTCATATATATCACATAATTTGGTACCAGCAGTTAATTTCTTAAGGACCTCCTCTTCCAGGGTCAAGAGGAAATTGTAATTTTCTTGCATTTTATCTGTAGGATTCACAAGCAATGTTCTTACAATGTTAGAGCAGTATGACTTATACCTGGCCCCAAGAGAACATATAATCGCTCCAAAATGAAGGGTATTTTTATCAGTAACTGCACTAAACTTGAGGTTGTAATTGCCACCTGACTGTATGATTGCTGGGTAACACATGTCTAGCTGCGTTACATCAACACCAGAGACATATTTCTTGTCAGTTATCGCTGATTCTACTCCTTCACAGAGTTTACTATGTTTTACCTTACGATCAGAGTCAATGATCTCCATTATTTGATCTTTTAAGTATTTCGTAAAGACATCCACACTAGCCATACATGCCTTCTTCATTGTTATGATCTCAGATTCTTCTTTACAACTCATAACATACGCAATTGCTGAACTAATATCAATATTTGAGAAACTCTCACTTTTCAATACATTCCTCCAGGCATCCATAAACTCACCAGGATAGTTCTCTTTTGTGAATACACCCAAAGTCTTACCATTTTTACTACCTTTGATAGCAGATATCAGGGTTTTAAAATTTGCTTCGTCTTTGTCATTGCGATCCCTCACCAGCAGTTTAATAGTAACACCACTATCATCCTTGTTCTCGGCCTGCCGAAGGAAATCTATTTTCCTCTTGCTTGCAAGGAAGTAAATGGTGTTCTCTGTCAGGACCATGATAGTGTCGGTTAGTTCATAACCCAAGAGCCATGTCTGCAAGGAACCAGACTTGCTGTAAACCACTTCTTCGTCGACACCAACGGCGGTAACAAGACAATCCATTTTTGCCAAGGCATTCTCGGATTCTGCTTTTTGCCATGCACCGTGCAACCGCTTCAGGCGACGATAAAACGTCTCCTTATCTAAGTTTATATTCGCCATTTTCGCTGTCTTCTCTTTCAACACTATATATTAAATTTATTTTGCGGAGCAAGCATGGAGAAAAACGTTACGGACCAAGCCTCCGGTGGCACCGGAACGCTGCTTCTTCCTCTTGCGCACCAACAAACGAAACTGTCAAATATTGTCAAAGACGCGGTAACGTCTCCAACACTGCCAATCCAAGAACAACAAAATTACCAAACATAAATACAAAAACGTAAACAGCACACACTAACACACTGTATATAAATATTAAAATTCTCTAAATTAAGTTAAACTATTCATTATCAATAAGAAAAACATTACATTCTCTATAAATATGTAATTTGAAAACTAATTTAACTATTCTGTAATCTAGCTTCAAATTAATAAAATTGCATCGTAGAAAATTCACTAACCTAACCTACATTATTTTGCAGAAAGTAAACAATACCTTATTGTTCAGTGAACACGAGGAACAGCTATTCAAATTTGAAATATTTAAATTTGCAAAAACTGAGAAACTCCTTGATATTTATTATCTGTTTCAAAAATGTATAAAAGTCTGATTTAATTTAATATGATTGTTTATTTATTACTGTTGTTAACATTTAAAATATAACCGAATATTTTAAAAATAATATTTCTCATTCTCAGTTAATAAATTAACTATAATTCAATAATAAAGTTCACTCACATGTTTCCTTAGTTTACATTAAAAATAAACAAACTTTTTTGTATATATATATAAATATTTTCGATATTTAATAAACAATGAAGAATAATCAATAATAGGTAGTGTAATATTATGTATATATGTCAAAATCTAATATTTTTTTAATTATCAATATATTATTAATTGCTTTGGTAGCTTTTTGAAAAAAAAATGAAAGGAATGTAATTTTATAAACACAACTGTTGAATAATTTTAATAACATTAATAAGAATTGAAAATTCATTCGTTTTGTTTCAATGCTAACACAGATGATACAAAGAAACAACAAGTATATTTGTATCCTCTCTGGGATATATATTAAATAGTTAATCCTGAATAACTATAAACGTACTCTAAAAGTATCTAAATAAAAAATATATATTGGCAGAGTTATGAACTTAGAACCTTTCTAGCAGGTATACTAACATCTGCTCAGGTAAAAAATAGGTTAGAGGTATAATTTTACCGCGCAACTTAAGTAGATGTATATGCCATTTAGTATTGAGTAGAAATACCTCAAGGACAACAACAATAGCTTTAAATTCAATGAAACTAAACCAAACAAAACACCACGTGGCTTAACAAGAAATAGAGGTAAAGCTTAAATTTTTGGTTTCTCATAAAATAAGATTTTCGGAATGTAACTGGAACGCCTATATAGTACAAGAGAAAGTCGAAAGATGTAGGAATTCTTGGAAAAATGAAATGAATAGAAGGAAAATAGATTTGTATGAAGTAATCAAAAAATTTATTGTTTTATATAGACAAAAATATCATTCGAACATATCGAAAGAAGTATCACATAGAGTTGCATTCTCTATAATTATACATGGATATCCAAAATGGAAAATCGACCAACAGCAGTTGGAAGAAGTCCAATCAAAAAAAAAAAAATATACGCAAGGTAAAATGTTTAAAAAATGTGGTGTACCTTTTCGAAACGGAAACTTAATAAGAAACATACGTTAACTAGCATAGAATTATTAATTTAACAAATCGCATAATATGTAACATATAAAACGTAATTTATATATTCAAAAATATTATTTTTTTTATATATATTTATATATGTATATAAAATTAAATATTATTTTAGTTTCGTTTCAACAGAAAAGGAAACTATTCAATTTTGGACACAAGCTGCAGACATCCGTGTATACTTGTTTTTTTCTGTTTTATTTAAAGAATTTTATGAGAAAAGAAAGGAATAATTAAAATGTATAAACGTAAGGTTGCTAACAAGCAGGTGGTGTATGCAAAGCTATGTGTAATGCTTGCTGAAGTTCCGGTCTCAAAGCCGATAAAATACCTTGGAAAAGTTGTTCATTGCTTTGCACTTGCCTAATTATATTTAATACTCTTACACTCTCTGGTTTAGAAGCATCTAAAGCTTCGCGGTAAAAAGCCTCTGCGAATATAGATATTATTCTAGGAACGTTGTCGTTTCCAGCACCTGAAAGACATTAATAATGTTAATATTGTTCATAATTTAAACGTATAAATAGTCAATTTACCTAATATAATTTGATTATTCTGTTCAATAAGGTCGCACAAATAACCGTAAACGTGCGGTGCTTCGTCGGCGTCTTCTACAACCGGCAACCAGCTGAACCAAATTGGCAAAAGCTCATCCAAGTTGATAGCGGATGCGTTGTATTTCATAATTTTAGTGACCGCAGCGATGGCATTTTCCGTTGGATTGATGTTCCTCATATCTCTGGATTCGGGATCGGCAATCAGTTCAATCAAGTGGGGAATGGCTTTGGCTAACTCTCCAGCAAACTGTTCCCCACCGAATTCGGCTAACACGCCCCAACCATAGGCAGCAGCCTGCCTAACCTACATACATAATTGATGAATTAGTACAAACAGAATTAGATGCAACAATTAGATTTGCAATCTTACCTCAGGCATTTTGTCTTTAATGTAAACAGCGAGCGGCTGCAAGAAGAAACTCTGATATTTCACGCAGGCCGGACCGGTAAATTCGATAACATCATCGAAGATGCAAAGTCCCCATTGGTGGTCGGCCCAAGGTCTTTGCGGTAACAACAAATTGACGAAATGGGAACATATTTGATCGAAGAACGGTAAGAAAGTTTCTCTGTATGTAGTGAAGAGCGAGTGCAAAACGTCGCTGATTTTACTTAAAACGAAGATATCATCGGTTTCCTCATCCTCCAGCTGTTCCTGAACAACCTCATCGTAATCCTCATCCAAATGTTTCTTCTGTCTGTCTTGGCTTCTTTCGAAATGTTCGGTCAACAACTTATTCATAATTTTCAATAACTCATCCATCATTTCCTTGTCAAGACAACCGGCACCAAGAGTCTCGATGCAGCCAGACAACGAAGCCAGAATTTCGTATAAAACGTCGTTTTCGGGTTCAGTATTTAGAGAATTCAAGAGCTCGGGTGCTACATATCTCCACATGCCTTCAACGAATGCAGGTCCCTTGATGGTCGCGCATTGCAGAAGGTATGGTAAGGATTCAGCGGCGGCAGTACGCACTCCGTCATGGAAGTAAAATTTGAGCATGGGCACCATTAATTTTACTACTTGTTCAGTATAATCGGCAAATCCTTCTTTCAATTCTCTGGCATAACAAACCAGCATCATGCAAGCAGCAGCTTTGTCCTCCAATCCTATGCAAATGAATATTTATTAATACATTAATGCAATAATAGTTACACAATATTACCTGCAGTTCTGATTCCAAAGTTCTGCTGTTCACCAAGAGAGACAAATTGCCAGTCGACGTCTCCTTCGACACCTTGCATATCTTCATTATCCAGTAAGGCCACTTCTGGTTTCAAGGAAGCAGTTCTCATAACAGGTCCCATGACCAGCGGTAAATATTGCTCGAATCTCTTCCCAAGAACCTAATCATATTAGAACATTAAAATCAAATTCAAACAATAATATCGATATGGACTTACTTTACAGATACGAGACCAAGCAGATATCAAATAGCTGGTCTGAGGATCATCGTCAGGTAACTCTGATCCTTCTCCGTGAGTTTTCAAAAGCAAGTCCATAACTTCACTAGCGTCGGGCAAGAATTTTTCAGTTCCTACAGCCAAGCCAATCAAAGATACACATTCGATGGTCTTTCCGCGCAATAGTTTCAGTTCATCTTTGTTTGCATTCTGAATAATGTACTTTAAGCAAGGCATTAATCTATCGTAATATGCAATAAACTCTTTCTCAGCAGTATCTGCTACACTTGCAATAGTGGTTACTACTTGTTCGAGTACCAGTTTCGTACCCTTCTCTACCAACTCTTTGAATTTCGCAGTTAAAATACCCTCCAAACGGGCCATCATGCCATCCAAATATCCTGTGAGGATGTGCTTCGGGCAGTCCTCAGAGAAGTTTACAAGTGCAGCGCCGGCATGAGCTTGAACTCTTGGATTTCCGTTATCGTCCAAAAGCATAAGCAAAGCAGGGATAACTCTCTCGTGGAATTTCTTTTGCAGAATAGGTGCAAAGTCCGTCGACATCTGTCCAACCGCATTGCAAGCCGCGTAACGTACCCGTGGATGAGGATCTTGTAAATAACCCAATACTCCGTTCATTACACCAGCCACTCCGTCCATAATTTGAGGCAACATCGTCTCCATCTGCTTGTTGCAACCTTCTCCGACGGCACTCAGTGCCATCAGCGCGGCATGCCTCTGCTTCCAATCCGCACTGAGCAACATAGCCGGTATATTCTGAGTTACCAAAGGCAGAATTGTTTTACCTCCCAAACCGCATGCTAATCTATCTAAGGCCGCTTCAGCTACTACATTATTGCAATCGTTATCTTCATCCAAGAGTTCATCGGCCACTGCCCATTCTTCCTCCTCTTCCAAATCGGACATCATGTGTAAAATCAAAGGCACTAATTGTTCAATGTATGTATTGGCAGATTTCCTGACCATGGCTGGAGCCATTTCTGATAAGGTGACCATCGTTTCTAACGCAAGCTGCCTCCAGCTATCCATTGTGTTTGGATCACTGAAAACCTTCGTACAGATATCGAAAATAGGTAGCAGCTGTGGTCTCAAATATTTCGGTGTATTCTCAGCCATGTCAATCAGAACTTTCAGCAACGTGTCATCGTCCTGCTTTTGGATGCTCTCAGCGATAACATTCAACATGGGGGGTAATAGGTCAGCAAAGTGTTTGAATACTTGGGTCTCTTTCTCGTGAATTAAAATAAAAGCACCGACGGCGCGTACCGCCTGGAACCTGACCTCGTAGGAATCGGCCAACTGCAAACTCTGCTGCAGCATTTGCTTGATGAGATCCAAGTAATTTATTTGTTGATTGCCGAAAACGCCAGGAACTGATGTGAACATTTGCAAAGCGGCCTCTTTAAGGATCACGTTAGGAGCGTTCGCGCATTGGAAAAGAAACTGAAATGATAATGTGTTTGATTAGTACGTTACAAATGGATCACGGATGGTCAGGTATTACCTGCAGGAATTCCGGCCACTGATTGTTACCATCATCGTCAATGAGATTTCTGGCTACTTCGGACGCAACATCGCAGACTTTATGTCTCAACTGATTCGATTGATCCAATTGAATTCCGAGGAGGATTTGTTCTTTGAGTTGAGCTTGACTCTCTGGCGGCAGTTTTGGGAAAAACTCGGAGAAGTCGGTGGAGAAAAGACGTCGCAATAGGACGGCGGACATCTGCCGAGATTCCTCGCCCAGCGAGGCATTGTGGATGGCTGCCAATAAGTGACTCACCTTTGACTCAATAGGTAAATTCGAGTAAGTTTCCTGAAAATCAAAAAAAATAACAATACTGTCTAAATGGAAACAAATAAAAAAAAAATAGCTTAAATTGAACTTGTATTAGCAACATCTAATATAAATTATAAATAATTAGCTAATCCTCTTTGGCAAAACAGGATGCTTTAATCTTTGCGTCAAAGGTTATCAAGTTTATTATAGGTAGCAACTAATTAATTCCAAGCACATGGTAATCTGCATATGGAAATGTTTACCTAATATTTTTCAAGTTAATATTCAAGATGCTTTATCTGATTAACAGAGAATATTTAAATGTTGGTGATTTGTAACATGTAATGGTGATAGCTTGAATCCATTTCAGTATGGAAAAAGTTTCAATTAATATATTTCCTATTTATAGAACAAATGGCATCAATTGACATTGCATGCACATGTACTGATGTATAAATAAATTACAAAAATAAATAAAGAAGATGCATGGTTAAAATTAAATTTAGGGGTTGGATTATTGGCGGGAAATAATTTGATAATGTAACCACCAAAATAAATCATCCCTATTTGCGGCTTTTCTCGTATTGCGAGAAGATAATTCGGTCACGTCACGATGTTGCGATTGGCCGGAATTGGACACAAATTGTACAGTTACTCCTCGATATGGTATAGCGGTACAAAAAAAGGCATGGAGATTGTCCACCAATGAATCATTCCGGGTTAATTGTACAGCCATGCTTGAATGTTCACGTTTTTACAGAGGAACGCTGTTCGGCGAATATATGAATTTCCATACATTGCCAAGTCGCAAATTTTCCAACATAAATAATACAAATTAAATAAAATCGATTTACATACCTCAGCTTGAGATCGAACATTATTATCGGTTGATAAAAGTGTGGACAAAAGTACATGAAATTGCTCCTGATCGGCGGCCATGGTCCCTCCACATGAAAGACTGACTAAAGGATACCAACAATCCGACTTGCTCCCAGAAATACACTAGGCCAAAATGAACACGCAATAATCTTGAAACCGATACCGATGAACCATAAAATGTCAAAATATACTTCAAATCCGTAAAAACTTTTAAATTTTGTTTTCCAATGGGCAAATGGCTTCCCCTGATTTAAGGCTACAATTGTACGAAGATACAAAGAAAAAGCAATTTAAAATAAATATTGCATATTCTTAATTTGCATATTTATTCAACAAAAATTAAACATTTATGAAAAAATAAGTTCGGAAAACAATTTTTTATTCAATTATAAGTATTGATTTTAAGTTTAATATGCAAATTTATTCGTATTTTTATAAAAACATTTTAATTACAGATTAGTCTAGGCTTAAGCTTATTTAGTTAAGCTTAACTAAAAACATTAAGATATAAAATAAACTAAATAATCTTATTAATAACTATTGATTATTGATAATTATTATATATAAACTAAATTAATAATTAATATTTGTACAATAAAAGATTATCATTTTAGAATAATTTCAGTTGTGTGATCAGTAATGTTGGTATTCCAATATAAATTTCCATGACTACCAACATTAACTGAATGACGTTAATATCAAAATAAATAATATAGGTTATCTATGATACGCACGTGTTAATGTAATTTTTGTTCATGTTATACAATATAATAAAAATTTAAGGTAAGAGTAAATATTTAATTATTAATTTCTTCAAGTAATTAACGTTATTTGTAGATGCCTAAAACGACTTCGGCCACTGGGCCACCCCGAAAGCAGGGGATAAATCGTGCGGGGCATTCCATGAACCCGGACAGGCCTAAAGAAGGCCTGAAAGGTGTTGCCAAGCCCCGTACGAAAGGTACGATCAAGCGTTTGCAGATGTACCGAAACTTCAAAGCAAAGAGAGATAAAAGTGGAAAAATCATAACACCAGCTCCGTTCCAAGGATGGTTAAATGCAGGCACACAAGCTCGTGTTGAGCCTAGTCCTAGATGGTTTGGAAATTCTCGTGTGATATCTCAAAATGCATTACAAAAGTTTCAAACTGAAATGGGGGCAGCCATAAAAAATCCATTCCAAGTTGTTATGAAAGCTACTAATTTGCCAATAACTTTATTGAATGAGAAGGCTAAGAATGCTAGGGTACATTTGCTGGACACTGAGAGTTTTCAGAGTGTTTTTGGTCCAAAGAAAAGCAGGAAGAAGCCAAATATTCAAGTCAGAGGTATGGATGAATTGAGTGATATGGCTAATAAGAAAATGGATGATTATTCAAATGAAAAGGATTCAAATATTGTTAGAGATGATGGTGGTGTTAAGGATATGCCAAGAGATTGGGTAATGGCAGCTGGGCAGTCAAAGAGAATCTGGAATGAATTGTACAAAGTAGTTGATAGTTCTGATGTATTATTGCAAGTGTTGGATGCTAGAGATCCAATGGGAACTAGATCACCATACTTGGAAAAATATTTGAAAACAGAAAAGCCCCACAAACATCTGATATTTATTTTAAACAAAGTAGATTTAATTCCAACTTGGGTGACACAAAGATGGTTGAATTTATTGAATAAAGAATATCCAACCATTGCCTTCCATGCCAGCATGACTCATCCATTTGGAAAGGGCTCCTTAATCAATTTGTTACGTCAACTGGGTAAGTTTTTTTTTGCTAAAATAATTAAAGACATGTTTTAATATTTGGTTGCTTTGTTTTTAGGTAAATTGCATATAGACAAGAAGCAAATCTCAGTAGGATTCTTAGGATATCCTAATGTAGGAAAATCATCTGTTATAAATACTCTAAGGAGTAAGAAAGTGTGCAAAGTAGCACCAATTGCTGGTGAAACTAAAGTATGGCAATACATTACTTTAATGAAGAGGGTTTACTTGATTGATTGTCCTGGAGTTGTGTATCCATCAGCTGAAAGTGACACTGAAAAAGTGTTGAAGGGAGTCGTCCGTGTGGAATTGGTGAATAATCCGGAAGATTATATCCAACATGTTTTAGAAAGGGTAAAACCAGAGTATTTAAAGAAAACTTATAAAGTTGATGGTTGGACAACGCATATAGAATTCTTAGAGAAATTAGCATTCAAATCTGGTAAATTATTAAAGAAAGGTGAACCAGACATCACCATTGTCGCTAGAATGGTATTGAATGATTGGCAGAGAGGCAAGTTACCGTTCTTTGTGTGCCCTCCTGGATGCGAACAACCGTTGGAGCAGAATGTGGAGGAGTTACCTGTCGTACAGGATTTGCATAAAATCCGCGTGGGTTTGAGCTTCGAAGGCGAAGATAATAAGAAACTTGAACCTATTAAGAACATCGAGAAAGCTGTTCAGGAGTACAAAGAGAACGATGATTCCCAAACCGATATCGATTCGCAAGCTGACACAACAATCGATAGTCAAGCCGATTCGACAATCAACACGAACACATCGGTCGATGACGAAGATTACGATTCCGATTCATCTGATGTCAGTAATTTCTACTCTGACATGGATCAAAGTGAAGTTGCCGAAGCTACAAGCGGTGACTTCAAAGTGGAAAGCACGGGAAGTGGTGGTAAGAAACTGACGAGCAAACAACGAAGGGCATTGGAAAGGGCGACGAAGCGCAAGAAGATTGGAAGCAACTTCTACGAAGTTACTAATGTTAAGAACAGAAATAGAAACAAGAAAAAGGTTTAATATATATGATTGTGTAAAATTATTATAATTCTTTTTATTATTGAATAAAAATTAATATGTTATTCATTAAATTGTTTTTAATCGCTATCGTCGTGTCTCCTAGACTTCTTCTTTCGGTGTCTATGACTTGGACTTCTGGATCTAGACTTGTGCCTCCTAGATCTGCTTCTAGACCTATCACGTCTATGAGATCTTTCTCTGTCTCTCGGTTTCTCTGATCTACTTCGACTGCTTTCACGTTCTTCTCTTGAGTCATGTCTGGACGGTGAACCATCCTTGGCCACGGGAGGCACCATTGGTGGAGCTAAGTTAACAGGTGGCACTGGTGCCGGTACAATTGAAGGATGACCAGTGAGTGGCTTTATTTCACTTGGAGTCCAACTCTGGTTATTTGTACCTAATGAACATAAAGAGACAATGATCAGTTTTCACTCAATAATCAATTGAATATGAACATAACATCACAAACTAAATAAAATAAAATCTAAAAGGACATACCTTACAATACCTAAGATGGAAATAAGTTAGTTATGGAATGTATAAAAATGTTTACTTCAAAAGTTACTTACTAATTTTACTACCTAAGAAAATGTAAACATTTTTATAGAGTTAAGATAAAACTTAAAGATATAGTAGACACATAAAGTTAAGAAAAAATAAAAAGATTACTTACTCTACAAATTACCAAAAATACAAAAACAAATTCTACTGTGAAATATTATGCAAATCATACCCCATTGCACATCCTGAGTGGGCTCATAACCTCCATAGAATGGTTCAGGTTCAGGGTTAAATCCAAATTCTGGTTGAAACTCATCAAAGGTTGATGGCGGTGGAATACTCATGTCAGGGAATCCTGGTGGTTTTCTGCTGTATTCCCTCCTATCGGCAGTCATTACCTAAAATTATCAGTTATATAAACAGTGTAAATGACAAATATTAGGAAAGCATAGTAATTTGTGGTCACATACTTGGATTACATTTTCTTTAGGAGCATCCATTTTAGCTCCAGGTTGGGCAGCTCCTCCTATAACATCAATAGCACCAGTCATGCGACGTCCTGGAGGGGGACCGGCTTTCCGAATCCCAGCGAAATTTCCGGCATACTTACTGTTATCATTCAAAATGGGTACAGGACCCCTAGGCAATCCAATTGCATTTAATGGAACTAAGCCTACACCTGATTCATTAACGCGTATCCTAGAAGAAAGATGCCACGAATTAATTATGAAATATTTTCTTCCTTATAGAACAGGGGTGGCCAGACTTTGCAGCAAGAGCCGCATCTAAACTTATCATAATATAAAATATATATAATATAATACGAGACACTTGAAGAGCCTCACGCGGCACGCGAGCCACAGTTTGGCCATCCCTGCTATAGAACATGCAATATACCTCTTTTGTCTTTCACAGTAAGCCTTCCATGTGTCTTCATTAAATCCATAATTAAAATAATCTGTTATATCTGCTCCAGGCTTTCTCCATGGTTTATCTTCAAGTGAATCTAAATTGAATTCATTTGCAGGTACTCCATTAATCATGCCAACTTGATCAAATTCTTCTACTGTAAATTTTCCTGATTGTTGTTGAGCTATTTTAGTTTTATCTGTTGTTGAGCTTGTCAGTAAACCGCTGCGTTTAATGTTAAGTGAAGTGGAATATGCAGTAGTTGTTTTAATGTCTCCAATGACAACATTAACATCATCATCACTGTCATCATCTGAGTCCTCCCTATCAGACTGATCCCCATTTTGCTTATCTGTTTCTTCTTGTTCCATTTCTTCTTCAGGGTCTTCAATTCCAGGAGGAGCTGGTTCAGCAACTTCGGGTTCAGGTTCTGGCTCCTTGACATCGTCAACTATCTGAAAATATTATAGAAAAAATGTAAATTATCATACGTATTTTTTTGGATTTATTTTACTACTAATGTTGAAGTCATTCTTACTCTCAAAGACAACTTGATTCATTAAATTAAAATAATATAAATTTGTCATTTGTAGGAAAGCGAATAAAGTTAGGTTATCTATCAAAAATGTTACCTCTTTTTCCGTCGATGTTTCTGCTTCTTCTTTTTCAGTTTCTTCATTGGTTTCATCTTTTTCATCAGGTTTCTCTTCACTCTCGATCAGTGGTAAATCGGAAGTATCTCCATATAACCACTGATCATCACTTTCCGCATCATCAGCCATAGCTTGATGTTTTTGAACATTTGATTACTTCATTTTATTTGATTCATGTTATTAGGTTGTACTCAATCATTTACACCAACATAAAAGAAACAAAATTCCTATCTACAAAAAATATTCAGCTGATATAGCTTTTCTACTTCTATGTTAGATTCATTACTAATTTATATCATTTGAATCATATTTATTTTTATTAATAAATGATATGTTATATGATATTAAGACAATAATAAAAATTAAATTTTCGTAATTATGAAGTTGGTATCGGTGGTCTGTTGAGAATAACATATTTAACCTCAATTTTCATTAAGTATATATTGTTGATTTGTGTAACTTCGTGCCAATTATTGTATATCATTGTATATCTGTTTGTGGTTGCTGAAATAGCATAGAATCATGGAGAATAAACCACAAAAAATGCCCAAAGTGGCTAAGGTAATTATAATTATAATATTTCTGTTAGTTTCATCTTCTAAATGTTTGTTTTTACCTCAGGTGAAGAATAAAGCTCCGGCAGAGATCCAGATCACTGCTGAGCAACTGTTGCGAGAGGCAAAAGAAAGAGATTTGGAGATCCTGCCTCCTCCACCAAAACAAAAAATTTCAGATCCAGCTGAATTGGCGGATTATCAACACAGAAGGAGAAAACAGTTTGAGGATAACATTCGTAAAAATAGATCTGTTATGTCGAATTGGTTCAAGTATGCTCACTGGGAAGAATCACAAAAAGAGATCCAGAGATCTAGATCAATTTTTGAAAGAGGTTTAGATGTTGATCACAGGAATGTTACATTGTGGCTTAAATACACTGAGATGGAGATGAGGAATAAACAGGTCAATCATGCTAGAAACTTGTGGGATAGGGCAGTAACAATTTTGCCAAGGGTTAATCAATTTTGGTATAAATATACTTATATGGAGGAGATGTTAGAACATGTTGCTGGTGCCAGAGCAGTATTTGAAAGGTGGATGGAATGGCAACCTGATGAACAAGCTTGGCAGACATACATTAATTTTGAATTGAGATATCACGAGATCGACAGAGCTAGGGAAATCTACGAGCGTTTTGTTTTCACGCATCCAGAAGTTAAGAACTGGATCAAATATGCAAGATTCGAGGAAAAACACGGATTCATACATTCTTCAAGACAAGTGTACGAAAGGGCAATTCACTTTTATGGCGATGATCATTTGGATGAAAAACTGTTTATTGCGTTTGCAAGATTCGAAGAAAATCAGAAAGAGCATGAACGATCAAAAGTTATTTATAAATACGCATTAGAGCAAATCCCGAAAGAGAATGCAAAGGAACTGTATAAAGCTTACACAATCCATGAAAAGAAATATGGTGATAGGACCGGTATCGAAGATGTGATCGTTTCCAAGAGGAAATTCCAATACGAGCAAGAGATCTTAATGAACCCTACTAATTACGATGCTTGGTTCGATTTCATAAGATTGATTGAAGGCGAAGATGATCTCGAGGTTACAAGAGAAACGTACGAAAGGGCAATTGCCAATGTGCCTCCAACGAAGAATAAGCAGTTCTGGAGACGGTATATTTATTTGTGGATCAACTACGCAATCTTCGAAGAGTTGGAAGCTCAAGACTATGAAAGAGTAAGACAGGTGTACAAGGCGTGCCTCGAGATTTTACCGCATAAAATATTCACGTTCTCCAAGATTTGGTTGTTATATGCGCAATTTGAAATTAGACAGAAGAACTTAACAGCTGCAAGGAAGATATTAGGAATGTCGATTGGTATGTGTCCAAGAGATAAACTTTTCAGAGGATATATAGACTTGGAAATCCAATTGAGGGAATTCGATAGATGCCGGATACTGTATCAGAAATTCTTGGAGTTTGGTCCAGAAAATTGCGTTACTTGGATGAAATTCGCAGAGCTGGAAACATTGCTAGGTGATTACGAGAGAGCCAGATCGATTTACGAATTGGCTATTAATCAGCCAAGATTGGATATGCCTGAACTACTTTGGAAATCATATATAGATTTTGAGATTGCCCAGGACGAAACAGACAACGCGAGGAAGTTGTATGAGCGTTTGCTTGAGAGGACATTACACGTGAAAGTGTGGTTGTCGTATGCAAAGTTCGAGTTGAATATGGAGAATAGCGAGGATGGAATGAACGTAGCCTTAGCTAGGAGAATATACGAGAGGGCTAATGATAACCTGAAAAACAATCCTGAGAAAGAGGCCCGGGTGCTGCTGCTTGAGAATTGGAAGGAGTTTGAGAATACGCAAGGGGATGATATTAGTCAGACGAAGGTTAATGAGAAAATGCCGAGGAGGATTAAAAAGAGACAGAAGGTTATTGATGAAGATGGCATGGAGCAAGGATGGGAGGAGGTGTTCGATTACATCTTTCCTGAGGACGAGGCGAGCAAACCTAATCTTAAGCTGTTGGCGGCGGCAAAGAACTGGAAAAAGAACGTGTCGACAACCGACGCAGAGGAGTAATTTTATTTTATTTCAAATAAATTTCTTAAATTTAAATTTAATTTGTTTTTTAACAAACACACTTCGTGTCTCACACTTTATGTATATATTATATAAGAAATATTTTATATTAAAATGATATAAAATATTTAAATACATTTATTAAACAAACAAAAAAAAATATAAATAATATCTTACATGAATAAATAAATTAAGAAATATATATGAGCACGTATTATATGTATAAGTAGTTGCGCACGTCGACACTTTCAATAATATACAGGATTGATTAAAAAAAAGAGAAAGCATTGATAAAAGTTACGAAAATAGTATGCGTTTTTTTTTTTGAAAAGCGAAACCGGAGCGAATGTAATTAAACGAAGGTACTGTTTTACTTGCTGTACCCTATTTTAAGTACACATTAGAGCTATGTACAATATACGGATTTTCGAAATAACTTTTGCCAATGCGGACGGACGTTCGATTCCGATTCGAAATATTTATAATCTAGGTATGGCGGACATTGCGCTCGCCTCGTTGTTCGAAACTGCTGCATACTTGGGTCTGCAGACGCATCCACTTTCTACAAGGACGTAATCCTGACCCGTAAGTGTCACGGGACCCAGAGGAATCACCAGGAAGAGATACGGGACGTACGTTTGAGTGCATTCACCTCTGACGACATCGCATTCGTTGCTTTCACATACCTATAAACAATTTCATTTAATTATAGAAGAAGAAAAAAACAATTGGGTGGAAAATTGTGTGAAGAGGATGAAGAAAAACTCACCTCGAAGACCACTTGTTGCAGTAGGTCAGGGAACTTTTGTACTATGGTCACAGGTTGTCCCGAAGTCAGGGAAACTCCGTACATAGGTGCAGTCGTGTTGTACCTTGTCTTACACAGTCGGGATGGTGTCGAAGTGCATGTCGGCACCGAAGCCGAGCTGCTTGCTGCTCTACCTACATACAAATTCCCATTTCAGACAGATGTCTTACACGCAATTACGACTAGAAAGTATTACCTGATCTAGATGTAATTGGGGTTTGTAGTTCTCCTAAATTTCTTTCGTGCGCTGCAAGAAGCGCCCGTTTCGTCAATTCCGGATCGATCGTGCTTTTTGCCCTTCCGGTCCTCGAGGATCCAGTCCACACTCCCGAATTCCTAAAAGTCCTCGCAATAGCCGCCCTAAAATAGCATTAAAACTTGAATACAAGAATTTAAAAAAATAAATAAATACACTTACGAAGGATACTGCATGTTGTTGGGTCCAAAGCAATCCGGAGAATCCGTCATGGCATCTCCCCAAACGTACTTGAGCCCTTTGGTACCCTCGCATTTCGACGACAATTTACCGTACGTCGATGTAAACGTTAACACGATCGTCGTGATCTATAAATTGAGGAAAAATGAATTATTACCGAAATAAGGTCACAAAACCGATTACTATTTATTTAAATAATTCGTACACACTTGCCTTCGTTTATTCTATTTTTTTTCAACATTTTTCTTTTGGTATATGTATTTTTTTTTTAATCTTGAGGCAATAAAACGTGTTCGTCGCGTATTTCGAGATTGTTGGAATAGCAGTAAATTACAGTAACATTATTTATTTATAATGATGTCATCTCGATCGATAAAATACGGTACTTAAATATGAAACCGCGATGTACATTTTTCTTTTTCGCATCGGAGGATAATGGCAATTGGCCGTTGTTCGGAATTTTCAACGAAACGGATTTTCAAGTGGAAACGTGTTCCGGATGACCGAAGACATTGGCTTTTCTTATCTATGTTACTAGGAAATCCTGACCCGCTGATAATGGACTGGAAATGCGTTCGAGAATGCTCTCTGCTCCAGAAACATATTTCGCATTTCTAAATGTGCGGAACTTTGTTTTACTTTCCTCCAATTAGGGACCAATTAATTCGTCTCGTGTAATTATAACGAGTGCGACAATTTCAGTTTCGTTACTAAAAACCATTCACACTTTTTATTCAACCTACTTTCGCACATTCGTGAATCATTCCCTGAAAGTTTCTTGAAATCCAATCAGATTCTATTTAAAGGTCAGTTAACTAGAAGAAGAAAAAAACTATACACGTTGTTTAAACAAAGTCGCGTTTTTCTTTCTTAATAATTGAATTAAAAATGTATGTCAATTTATGAATTGTTAAACGGAAGACACGTTTTTATTTTTGGAAGAAAAAACGGTAACTTGCGTCGGCGTGCCCAGACATCCGTAACTGTTTTTAATTGAATGAAAGATTTATGTTAAGCTTTTTATGTAAGGTTTTTTTTTAAATATAATATTACTATGTTGAGAGCTTTGTATGCAAATGCATGGAATTCAAGAAAGAAAAAAAATGTCCGTGCGAAGAACGAGTTACGACTAAAAGGAAATACATATTAAAAAAAAGAGAAGAGAAATAAATGATGTGTGTGGACATAGCGGGACCATAATTCAAATTTGCGAACGACTAGTGGTTAATAGCCTCTTCTCGATTGCAATTTAGTGAGCAAGTGTTACGAATAGACAATTCCCCGTACGAAGATAAAACCGAGAAGACCGGTACGTTACAGCGTACACCTGTTCAGGTAAAATAAAGGTACGCTGTATAAAGTGATCATTGACCTCCAAGTAACTGTACTCTACCATCGATGTGGGCAAAGGGGCAAATATTTTGAATATTGATGAATTATCAACCGTAACTTAGTCATCGACCACACATCCTTTTATTTCGGTTAACGCGTTAACCTCATTACTATATTGGGTTAACAGGATTCGTGTTAATACTACTAATCATAATGGTAACCGTGTGGAGGAGAGGAACGAACGAAAGAAAGAAAAAAAAAGAAGCACGCGAAGAAGAAGAATGAGAAGAAGTCGACCTGGTTTTTGTTCTCGCTTCTCATAACAATTCAATTACCAGGAAAAAGGAACAAATGGAACATGGAATACTTACTAATAAACACTGCCTGCACGCTTTTCCCATCGTGAAATTTGTTCTTGAAGATTTTTGTTATATATATGTTAATATATCTATCCGTATATGATTACTAAATGCGACACAATACTGTTCATTAATTATCACTTAATTCATGTTTTCTTTGAATTGCTCTTTTCGAAAAACTTGAATTTGAAAATTGTTCACTTTTGAAGTCTCTCACTCAGGAACTTGAATTCGAATCGGTCGATGGTCGGCGTCGGAGGAGCAGCAACACTACACGAAGGATGCGATGTTATTTTCTAGTAAAGTATGCCATAAGACTGATGTGGTCGTCGTCGCTTTGATGTGTCTGCTGCAGGAATTTATACGTGTTCGTCTTTCGCTCTTGAACTTGACTTAACTGCGCGTACTCTAAATAGGAAATGATAATAGTTGTTATAACTTACTTCGTTGTTGGGTAGACACACAGCACGTATTAGTGGGGATAATGGTACTTCAAAATCGTTACAATATGAAAAGAAACTTGGTAACTGGTTGCTCGAAGCACAAATAAATATAATAAATATCCACTAGTCATCGACGCGACGTTACTGTACTTAACGGAAGAAATCAAATAATTAAATAATTGACACAATTGCGACGATTCGAAAAGGAAGTTGCAATAATCGCTTCCTTATATTTGCAGCTTAGCAAAGTCGAAAGAAACAATTGAGGTTTTAATATACTTAGATTATTGACTTTATACCCTACATACATTACAAATTTATATTAAACTAATTACAAATAAAATAAAAAATAATTCAATTATCAATTTGTATACTTTAACTGTTTAACTGTTGTAGTTTAATTAAAGAGAGTTTCAACTCTGAATTTCTTATTAGGAATTTTTTAAATGACTATCGACCATCAGTGGTGTACTAAATACCATTTAAAGTGCTCCTGATAATAAATTATAATCACCGAGACATTAAGTCTGGACAGATTTATTGTTGACACAAATGTTGGAAATCTCCTTATAAAGCAATAATTACGTCCATAAACACGGTCCATTGCCGACTCCACATATTTAATAATACGTTGCTCAGAGTTTTAATTAATTAGAGTTTGCCGTTCTTAATCGCACCTAACGGTACATCAAAGTTGGGATCTTTATCAAAGACAATTCCATTATATTATCCAATATAAATATATTGTCAACTATTTGTTCACCGTTAATTGGAAAATGAACCAAGTTCTTATTAAATATTGTCCATCGATTATTGTTTACACGTTTCCATTGAACTTAGCGGTAATGCGAATTTTTTTTTTGCAAAGCAAATTTATATAAACGATATATATATATGTATGTATATTGAACTACTCTCGTTAGCGTCGAGACATAGTTTCCGAGTGGGAATTGGACTTCCATTCAAGTAGTAATTACAACGTTAATTAACATTGGAAAAGACGCACGAAGTTATTTTCTTTGAATTTAATAGACTTTCTTGGTGCTGTTTTCTCTAATTTCTCTAAATTTACAATATAATAATTACTATGCAAATTGTATCAAGTTATCAATGTTATTTATTAATCTATATATGTTACGATTAAATGATAAAGTTGTATAGTTTATAACAGAATACAACAATCTATTAGATTAAATAAGATATTGAAACATGATATTTGTTTACGTATCAATTGAAGATATACTTAAGATACTAATTATAATTTCAAACATTAAAAATGAGTCATATATAAACTTAAGATGACCTAACCTCGCCAAATATGTAAAAGTTTCAGTATTGATATAAGATTAGCAATACCAGAATTATAGTTTATATACGTATCAAGAACTGTTGCTATTTTAAAAGTAAATGCAATTCGAAATGCGCAAAATATTTTTTAGTTTGAAATCTAGTTTTAATATCCTTACTCAAATATCTAAGAATGCGCTCTAAGAGAAGTGATTGTAATGCGTACATATTTACCTTACTTACACAATTATATATACACATTCAGATTCTAGATAAAAGCATGTTTTTTTTTTGTATGTATGTAAACTTACATACTTCTATCACAATGACATAGCTTGAATGCGTATGGGATCTTGTGTCGAGGTCGCATTGTCTGCAGATAATGTGTTTTGTTTAAGACATTTTTAAGGTCGTTACCAATTCGACTTATACTTACTAAATGCTTCTGAAAAAAAGTCGTAAACAAATGTTAGTCATATGAGCATCTAAATCATATTGAAATTTGTGAAATACATCGTAATACAAATACTTACTTTCAATGTTAATTATCACATAACAACAAATAATGTTAGGTAATAATTACTTAATATTAAAATTCTCGGCAATTCAATATTGTTGTTCATGTGCGAAGTGCTAATTATTTCTTTTCAACATCATGCGTTTAGTGAATAAGATTTTATTTAAAAAAAAAAGATATAAGTCTTATTCGTATATATTTATTAATTAAACATTCATTATAATAGGTAGACAACAGACTCCAGGGAATACATTCAAGTTCCTGTTAGAACAAATTCTCTTCGAATAAGTACCATTCATGTTTTTAAAAAAATATAATACATATAGGGGGGAAATAATTAAAGATTACAATAATAGCGCATTATTGTGAACAATGTATTCTATCAATAACATACATTAGAATGAAAAATATGAAATTACATTCACTTCGAAACAGCAAAATGGAATACGAGGACAAAAAAAAGTATCTGGCAAATACAATTGTATATAAAAATTGTACGAAAAAAATTAAACAGAAAATTATAATTAGAGTTAATGTCAGTTGATTCGAAATGTATTCAAAACAAAAATAGATTTGTTTGTTTAGTACTAATCACAGATTTTATAACTTATACCTAGAAATAACTAATATCTAAATAAAAAATCCGCAATAACGTACTAACTGTAGATGAAAAACGAATTCAAGTCACGTGAAAAAAAATTGTTTAAAAATAATAATAGTATGTTTAAATCATGGAGAAAATGACAGTATGGTTTAATTCTAGTAAATTCAGAATTTAGTCTTCAAATTTAATAGAATTAACTGATGTGTCAATGGCACCGCCTCTATAAGAACCGCGCTTTTTCTTAGTTTTTTCATGACGGAAGGATTTCCCTTTCGTATGTATCAAATCATTATTGGCCCTTTCTCCCCAAGATCCTCTCGCATTTTTCTATAAACAAAAACAAATGTGTCATTTCCTACTGTCATTCGATACGTTAAAATAATGTAAAAAGAAGAAACGTGATGCGCACGATTGCAACTTACCTATGTACAAAGTGTTTTATATATATAAAAAAAACGTTATGTTTATATAAAAGTTAGTCTAATCATCGAACGTAATTTTCTTATTTTGAGCGGGTTTATCGGCGCCGAAACTGTTGCGATTTCCACCATCGAATGATTTCCTGAAACCACCGCGACCTCCCCTATCTCCGCCAAAACCTCCACGACCACCCCTGTCACCGAAACCTCCACGGCTTCCGCGTCCACCCCTATCGCCAAAACCTCCACGGCTTCCACGACCACCCCTGTCGCCGAAACCGCCACGGCCTCCGCGTCCACCCCTATCTTCGCCGCCGAATGACTTCCTGAAGCCACCCCTATCGCCGAAACCGCCACGACCTCCGCGTCCACCCCTATCATCGCCAAACGATTTTCTAAAACCGCCGCGACCGCCTCCATTCTCATCGCCGAAAGAATTTCTGAAACCACCTCCGCGACCCCCAAATCCGCGTTTACCACGGAATCCGCCACCGCGTCCTCCGCCGAAACTATTGTTCGCATCACCTTCCTCCTCCTCCTTTTTGGTTTAGAAAAATATGGAAAAAAAAATAATAAAATTAGTACAAGAGGCAAACAAGAATACAGGCTCTGTGCGAACTCAACAAATTAACGATTGATTAAACAAACAAAAAATGATTCAAATAATTCTGCGCGAAATTGAATCTTGGATGCCTGTTGTACCAATTTTTCTATTGAGATCGCACAGTACCTTGGCATTAAATGAATTATCCTTTAATCTAGGATCTACACGAATTTCCTCATCCTTCACTCTTCTAAATGGAGTACGCTATGCAAAACATGAACATTAATTTTCAAGTTCATCAATATACTTGAAATAATTATTAATTATAAGCTAAAAAAATTACCTGATCATTGCCATTTGCTTTTACAAAGTTATCGTAAGCTGGTTTCTTTGCAGGGGTACCTTCATCACTTTCGGCTTTCCTTTTAGCACCCTTGTTCTGTTAATAGAATGAAGAAACATATATATATCATTTGTTCAATTAAATTATAGAATAAAATACCTTAGTTTCTTCAGTAGCCTTTTTCTTTGCTGGTGGTTCATCTTCAGAGTCTGAATCTTCAGATGAAGATTCCTTCTTAGCTGCAGCCTTTGGAGCTACTTTAGAACTTGCTTCAGTGGGCTCCTCATCAGAGGAATCATCTGAACTAGATTCAGCTTTCTTTGCAGCTGGTTTAGCTGGAGTGGCTTTTGGCTTGGCCACCTCCTCTTCATCAGAACTATCATCAGATGATTCTTTTTTAGCTGCAGCTTTGACTGGAGTAGCCTTCACTTGAGGTGTAGCTTCCTCATCAGAATCATCATCTGAAGAGGATTCAGCCTTTTTCGGTGCTGCTTTAGCAGCTGGTTTGGCTGGAGCAGTTTTGGCTTGAGGTTTCTTTTCCTCTTCATCAGAACTGTCTTCTGATGAAGATGCTGCTTTTTTAGCAGCTGGCTTTTGAACTGCCTTCACAGGTGCTTTCACTGCAGCTTCTTCCTCATCAGAGCTATCCTCTGAAGAAGATGCTGCTTTTTTTGCTACTGGTTTAGCAGCAGGCTTTGCAGCTGGCTTGGTTTCTTCCTCATCAGAACTCTCATCTGAAGAATCTGCTTTCTTGGCAGCAGGCTTAGGTGCTGGTTTAACTGGTGCTTTTGTTTCTTCCTCATCAGAGCTATCATCAGAAGATGATTCTGCTTTCTTTGCAACTACTTTAGGTGCAGGTTTTGCTGGAGCCTTTTTTACTTCTTCATCAGAGCTATCATCAGAAGATGATGCTTTCTTTGCAACTGGTTTTGGAGCAGGCTTGGCTGCTACCTTGGGTTGTGGCTTCACTTCATCATCAGAACTATCTTCAGATGATGATTCTTTTTTCTTTGCCACTGCTTTATTTGGGGTTGCTTTAACACCTCCATTTACTTGTGATGCCTTTGTTTTAGGAGGCGTCTCCTCTTCACTGCTGCTGTCCTCTGAACTTTCTGCATCATATTTCAACTTCTTGGCATTTTGTCCAGTTTTCAAGTAATGAGAAATAATGTCAGTTAAAGTAGGTGAACCTTTCACTAATGTGGCCTGAAATAGAAATAATACAATTCAGTTACTATTGCACAATATATTAAAAACTATAATAAATGTGCTTTATGAAATGTTAGGTTATATGTATACAGTATTGATGAATGTTTCAATATATTGTAGTTTTCTTTTCTTAAAATAAAAATAAAAAAAAACTTTTACATAAATAATTATCATCCACCAATGCCTCTATAGTTAACTTGGTTTGACATGTCGAGGCTTCAACTTTGTACAAACAACAAAAACAAAAGTAGAACCTGGCGTTCGATCCCACGTGGGACCGCCATTCGCCACATTTTTTTTCATGTTTTACAAGTAAAGTACAGAATGATTAGTAGTAGAGAATAGTTGATGTTACTTACCGGCTTTATTTTGTTCTTAAAGATTTCAGCAACAGATTTATCGCCCTTTGATAAATGTTCAAAAATTACGGCAGAAGCCAAAGAAGCGTCAATTTTCGTCGCCATTTCACCCAAAAAGAAATTAAAAAGACTGATACAAGTTTGCTCAGAACGGCAACCGACCTCAACTATTTATGGTTTGTAAGGATTACCAACATATTTTACAATTTGTCACTGTAGCCAACGTAATAAAAATATATTAAGCAATGTTTATTTTTGTTTATTTATGAAAGCTGATAGAAAGAGCATCTATAAATAAATAAGCTGTTATCTAACTTATATGCAAATTATTTTGTTTGTATATTAAAAATAAATAATAGTTAACTTTTTTTAAAATTATAAATGCGTGCCATGCGTGCTATAAAAAGCAGTATAAAAATAGAAACAATTAATATTATATAAGAAAACTAAGAAAAAGAGTACAGTGTTGTATTGAGACTTAAAAAAGACATCAAACAATTATATTAATTTTGATAGTATTAGAAAGGAAATCCTTAGCGTGATTAAAATTATAATTTTAATAATATTTGGATTTGAATGAACCACATTCGAATTAAAAATGGGAGGTGATATTTTAATCCAATAGAAAAGCGAAACGTTGACACTTACTTTAATTAGTCAACAGTTGTCAATATTTTAACCTCTTTGCGATGTGTTCAAACATTCTAAAAAGTATGCAATCGTAGCATATGTGCAAAGAAAATCCAACTCCGAAATAAACCATATATTGACGTTGTTGTAAATGTTATTATTGAACAATGAATAAGAATAGTAAATTCTTGCTGAGTGCTGCTGGCATCTTTGTTTCATACTTCTACTATGGAATAATGCAAGAGAAAATAACCAAAGGGAAGTATCCACTACAAAGCGAAGATGGTTCCTCCACTTATTATGAAAAGTATTCTTATGCCTTAAGTTTGGTTTTCATTCAGTGCTTAGTAAGTTATTTGTTTTCCAAAGTTGCTGCTGTGAGACATGAGGTGGAAGACAAAAAGCACAATTTGAACCTACTGTACTCTGGTGCAGCATTAACTTATATATTGGCTATGGTGTGCTCGAACATGGCATTACAATGGGTTTCCTACCCAACTCAGGTGATTTGATTGTTATGAATTCCTTGAATTGTATAATGTAAATGATTTTATAGGTTGTAGGAAAATCTGTTAAACCAATACCTGTGATGATATTAGGTGTTTTAATTGGGAAGAAATCTTATCCAATGAGGAAATATTTATTTGTTTTATTGGTTGTAATTGGGGTTGCTTTATTCATATATAAGGACCAAAGTGGATCAACTAGCAATCAAGAATTATTTGGATTTGGTGAAATTTTGCTAATTCTTTCATTGATCATGGATGGTCTGACTGGGGCTATGCAAGTAAGAGACTTGTTTTTATTCAGTATGTCTGAAGGTTTTCATTTAAATGTATTCAATTTTGCAGGAGTTGATGAGGGCCAATGCAAAACCATCTGGTGAACAGATGATGCTGAACATGAACTTTTGGTCTTGTATTTATTTAGGAATTGGACTAATTTTAACTGGTGAAGGAATGGAATTTTCAAAATTCGTCGGAAGACACCCTTACGTGTTATATAATATCACTTTGCTTGCTTTGGCTGGTGCCATTGGGCAGCATTTTATCTACTTTATGGTAAGTTCCAGTAAACGTGCAAAAGTGCACATCACATAAATAATCACGTAATTTGTTTTAGGTTTCTGGATTCGGTCCATTGCCCGTATCCATCGTGACAACGACGAGGAAATTTGTAACGGTATTAGCATCTGTGGTGATATTTGGAAATTCTCTTATACCAAGGCAATGGTTGGGAACGATTATCGTCTTCTCTGGTCTTTTCTTGGACTCAGTTTATTCCAAGTCGGCGCCCAAGAAGAAAGAAGTCAACTAGTAATTGCAAATATGTTCCTAAAAGCGAGGTGCAAATGTATTTATTGTGGACAATTATTACTCAAAGTAAACTTCTTAATGAAATTAAAATTATAGAATCCATTTATTTGATAAGAAACGTCAATGAGTACATAAATAAAATATAATGTTTTATATAAATGCTCGAGTAGGAACGGACAGCATTTTATATATCTGTAATTTTATAAAAAAATATTTTAAGTACAGCCCTGTCCCCTACTTCTGAAATTGAAACCGGAACATTTTCAACTCTGCGCACAAAAATCCATGGTAAAGGATATTGAGTGATACAGAAAACGAACTGTAAATGCAAGACAAAACTATTGGAATAGACCACGATTAGAATAATTAAGAAAGTAGACAAAAAATGATACAACAATTAAAGATCTCGTTTTCCCAGCAAACTAGTAACATCAATACTCTGATTGATTGTATTGCAAAATAAAATGAAAATCATAAATATCACAGGCCTATATTATTTACATTTACTTTTCTTTGAAACCAATTAAAACTTAAAAATGTTGTTATATTATTTTTTGTTGTTGTTTTCGTCCAAGTTACGTAACATAAGAATTAATATAAATAATACTATTTAATTTCTAATATGTTCCCTAAACAGAAAAATAATATTAATCATGGATTTTAATTGTTCAATGAGGCGTATTCTCTGGTCCACTCCTTGGCTTTCATTATAGCCTCCACCTCGTTAGTCTTCCACATTTTTGCAACATCGTTTGCAAGTGGATCGTCCGGATTAGGGCTGCCCAATAACGCTTGGATGGAGAGTAGCACCGTGCGAATCTGGAGTGCAGGACTCCACTGATCTTTCAATATGTCCAAACATATGCGCCCCAACTTATCAATATTGGGATGGTAAATTTTCGTCAGGAATCTGACGTTCGGCGGATTCAGTGGATAGTTTTCTGGTAGGAAGAGCTCCAACTGAAATAATCCACCCTCATATGGTGAACCGCTTGGTCCTGCCATAATAACATGGAAGTATCTACAATTATCTTCATCTGGGTATGCACTTATACCTGGTGGTGGATCTTTGGACAGATTTTTTGTTTCAACTAATATTCGTTTAGAGGTACTTGCCATTCCTGAAACACAAGAAAATTCATTATGTATAATAATAATTATAGTAAACTAACATGGAAGCACAGGATGTAAGAATTTACATGCTCAGCACAAAGAGTTGAACTGATGACAGGCATTATTGTTATATATGGTACTGTTCAATGACTTGAATATGCGACAATTAGAACACAAAGCACAATTATGACTTAAACTTTTATTTATGTATATATATAAATGGGTGATAATTAGATAGATTAAGTTTGATTGCATTTAATGATGTTGGATTACCTGAAGCTTATTTAGGACTTGGTTCTGTAGGAGACTTACCGAATCTCTTATTAGTCAGCACAGCAGCTAATTATCTCTAGAGTGAACGATATGAAAGGAAATGTATCTAGAAATACACCTTAGATGTTAAATCCCATAGAAATGTTAAAGGGGGTTATGTACAAAGAGGCTTCAGTTTGACAACCATCTGTTCATGGCTGCCTTCAATTAAGTGTATGTAGCCAACTGTTCACCAAAGATTGCAAATACATTTAAATTTTATACAATACACTTAATAATATTTCAATTATCTTCATCTTAACTATGATGTTAATATCATACAGATAAATCGTTTAAAAAAATAAACGAACATATTTAGTTGCAATTGATAATATAACATAAAATACAAGAGTATTACTTATATTTAGTAACATAAAATCATTTGAGACTAAGACTAATTCATATTAAATAAACAAATATTTAAAATCACAGATAGATTAATGAAGTATTTGTAAAAAAATAGATTAGATGGGAAAATTTAAATATAAAGTTGAGCTGAAAAAGAATTTGTTTAAAATGCAGATTGGAAAATGTAATTGGATGTAATAAAATAATTGAATTATATTTATTGTTATTAAAATGAATAACAACAAATATGTTAATTTAATTAAAAAGCAGCTGTGAAGTAATCGAAAATTAAGGGATGATAATTTAAAATAGGGCGGGAATGACAATATATTTCAAGTCCGTGCAAAGTATTTTTACTGATAGAAAGGAGTCTCCTCATGTTTTTAATTATAAATAGTTTAGCTTATTTGTATCTTATAAAATAGTATGTACAAATATATTAACGTTCTTATGTGTATTTACTAGAAATTTGTTTAAATTCTTAGACCTTAATGTACGCCTCTGTCGCTGAAATATTGATTATCTTAAGTCATATTTTGTGAAAATTATATATTATCCAAACAATAGTTCATCATTTCCGTATCATTAGGTATAGATGCTATTTTCGGTTTCATTTTATCTTATAGAATTCATTGTTTCAGTCTGTTTCAGCACTCTTTCAAAGATGAGCAGAACCACGGATGGAGCTGTCGTGCCTCCTCCTGCAAAGAAAAGAAGAATAATGACGACGATGACCAAACCGAAGAACAAAAAGCAATGCTTCAAAAAAGAGTGGTTGCAGATTGACGATTTCAAGAACTGGCTCACACCGGCACCTGAAAACAATTACGTGGCCAGGTGCAGAGCATGCAAAGTGGAATTCCCTGCCGATCTCAGTATCATCAAGCAACACGCAAAAGGTGTGAAGCACTCTAAGAAAATGAAGGCCATACCGTTTCTGCACAGACCAATCATCGAGACTGTCATCAAAACAGAGAAGAACGATGATACACTGAAGAACAAGACGGAGGAGGCGCAAATTAAGCTCTGCGAATTCTTCGCCGAAAACAACATATCTTTTTCGCTGATGGAAAAGTTCGATAAGGTGTTGAAGGAAGCGTTCCCGGATTCCGAGATCATAAAGAAGATTTCGATGCAGCAGACTCAGGCCACAATAGTGATGAAGAATTTGATCAGCGACGCAGAGAAAGATCGCTTGGCCAAACTGTTGCAGTTCACCTCCTTCAGCATTGTTCTTGAAAAGGCTCAAGACATTGGATCAATTAAAAATATTTGCGTCACCGTCAAGCATTTCGATAAAGAGAAGAATCAAATCAAGAGCAGTTTTTGGGATGTCTGCCCAGCGAATGCAGTGACCGAAACTGCGGAAGCTGAACAAAAGGAAAACATCTTCAACTCTTTGAAGAACTCGTTCACGTCCAGAAATATTCCTTTAAATAACGTCATTGGTTTCGCTTTCGACGACTGCAGTATTATGATGGAGTATTACTCGTTCATCGCTAACAAAATGCGAGCTTTATGTCCCAATGTATCAGTCAGCAAGAACGTCTGCAGATCTTTGAGTTTGTGCTTGAGCGAAGCCTGCGAAAAGATGCCGGAGAACTGCAAAGAGTTGGCCAACGATCTCTTTGCGTTCTTCTCCAAGAAAACTTGCGATTTACCGCAGTTCCAGAAGTTCGCTGATTTCCATATCGAAAATGAGAAGCTGCTTTTGCTGTCCTCGTCGAATGTGGTTACAGGAATTTTAGAGCTTTGGCCTGCTTTGTTAATCTTCTTTAAGGAAAAAGCAACTAAAGAGAAACTTGCTGCCGCAGATCCGATCTACAAGAATTTAAACGATCCGTTCGTTAAGGTATATTACATCTTCTTAGCATGGGCCTTACCCAAACTGGACAACATCCAAAAGCACTATAACTCTGAGAGAATTATTATATTGGATTTGGATAAAATAATGAGGGACACTTTGAAGGAACTTCTCTTCTGTTACATGGAGAAATCGCACATATTGAAAACCAAATTAGAGTATGTAAATCCCAAGGATAATACTAAATTTTTGAAAACAAGATCCGTTTACCTCGGCGTCAATGTACAGGAAGAACTGAACCAAGTGGTCTATAGATCAAATGCTGAGGAGCTGGATAAATTCTACTCGAAAAGCACTGAATTTTTGTCCACCATGTGCGTAGAGTTGAAGAAGAGATACGCATTTGGTAATTGCGTTATGCCGCTGTTGGTCAATCTTAAGCCAAGTATGGCTACAAACGCTTACAAACAATGCGATTCGCTGGTTCCGATCTTGAGACTTCTTCCAAGACTGACGGAAAAGGATAAATGGCAAATCATTGATGATCAATGGCGCAATCTTCCACATTTCAACTTTCCAGAAAATACCATTTCCGATTGCGTCGATGAATTTTGGGGAAAAGTATTAGTGATTAAGTCGCAATCTGGTGATTTGGTATTCCATGATTTGGCCAAGTTCGTCTTGAACATTTTAACATTACCCCACTCATCAGCTTAATTCAAATGAAAAAATATGATGACATGGATTTGATTCTATTATTGTCTAATTTTAAAAAATATATAGCTTTATTAAAAATATGGCCAAAAAATCATTTATATATGTAAACGAATTTATTTTGTAGAAATATTACAACGTGTCTATGTAATTGTTTGCATCTAAATGTCTTATAAGTGTACAACAAAAACATATTTATAGTCAAATATACATAACTCAGTTAAAAAGTAATAAAACTTATTTTGTTTAATTATAATTTCCACACATAATATTATTACTTATTCGTTTTAATATAGTGTGATGTTATTCAGATATTTAACAAATTACAAAAGTTGCTTGAAAAACGTTAAATTTTTAAACGCAAAACAGGTAAAATAAAATTTATTTTGTTTTCAAACCGTACTATAGTGAACCTCCACTGTCGCAAGTATTACTGTTTAAATTGGAAGCAAGTGTATATTGGGGTGCATATAGTACACTGATCTTTATTTAAGTATTTACAATTGCTTGGTAAATTCATTATGGACGTGAATAAAATACTAAATTTCTTAATGCGGAACAAGCAGAGAAGTTTTCTTATTATTAAATGGGACTTAATTTCTAATTATATGTCTTGGAATTTAAATTATGTTTATATTTAACACAGACAATATTAATGTCGATTGACAATAAATCATTGCATTTATAGCACGTATTTTATTGAAAAAAAAAATGCATAAGGAATTCTCTTTTACTTTAGATAATTGCCATAATTAATATCCCAATCATAAATCAACAATAATTCATTATAAAATAAATAATTGCATTATAATAACAGGACTACGATTAACATTACTATTACTGTATCTAATAAACAGCAATTAGTAATTATGTTACTTGAAAATTAACGACAATTACATCAGAAAAATATTTCATAATTATCCAAACATACATCATATCAACAAATTTAATGATGGAAAATAATAATAAAAGTATTTACAATATAATTTACACAATTCAGAAAATGAAATGATATTTATTATAAATATATCTTAAATTAAATACTCTTTAATAAATAAAAGAAAAAAACATTAATGCAAATAGTTATAAAAAATTATAATTTTATTATAATTATATAGTACACAAGTTTGTTTTAAATTCTTAAATTTTTTCATATTTATAATATATGAAAATAAAGGAATTTAATAACTTGTGTCCTTGCAATAAGAGAAGTGTGTTATTAGATAAGTATATGGAATAATTAGAAATAAAATCCTGAAATATTTGCCAACATTTTTGATGGTAAACTAAAAGCAAAATTTGAAGCGAAATAATCCAAATCTAAGTTCTTTTAAAAAGTACAATGAAATTCTTTTTAAATGTACGAAGATTTTCTATTAGAAATGGTTATGTATTTTCATAAAATATTATGTATAATATTGTAAAAGTGACATAAATTTAACTTTGACTTAAGCATGATTCAATAGTTATTTGTCTATGAGTTTTTGATTGCATCGTCATTGTATATATTGTAGATCTATTTTATTTAATTGATTATACAATATACACTTCATCTATATTTTTTTTAAGTATTGAAAATTGTTAAATAATTGATAACTTGTATGACAATTAAAAGCACTATTGCAAGGTGACATCTGTGGGATTAAAACAGATGTCACTAAAGATAGACTAAACAATTGTTTTTTTTAGATATATTCAATTTTATTTTGATTTACTTAAGAACCAACAAATATATTTTTTTAAAAGTTATTAACAATTTATAGGTAAGATTAAAATATAAATAATAATAATAATAATATTTATTGCAACAAACATATGTATTTATTTATTTATCAACGTTTATTGTAAGTCACAAAACAACAAAAAGAAAACAAGAATAAAATAAATACACATTAAAAATTATTAATAATCATTGCAAATGTTTTTTTTTCATTTTATTCGTGAATAAAATAATAAATTTCTTAATGCAGAAAAGTTAACAATTTGGTAAATTGTAAATAATCTTTTCTATACAAACTATCTTTGTAGTAATAACAATAACAATTGTAGTTGCATTGTAATAATTATATAATTACAGAAGTACAAAGTAAAAAAGACATGCATCATTGCAAAAATATTGTAAATTGTTTGTGTGAATGTAAGTGTTTTTAAAGATGATCTAAGTCACCATAGAAATATAAAAAAAAATCGATGAATGTACTAACAAAAATTATCAGTATGCTTGACAACAAATAAATAACAGAATTCTGTTTATTTTCGGTTTTGTTTAAATAAAGGTGACAGATGAAAGAGACTGAATCGTGAATGGTGTAATATCTCATGATACCTAAAAAGTAAAGTGTTTAGTTTAGAAGCAACGTGTTTTACTGTGTGCAATATGGGAAGTCTTGTATAAATCATATCCTTTGATATTTCAGCAGGATATGGATGTCAATATTTTATCTGTTGCGAGGACACCTAATGGTCCAATCCATAGTTGGCAGCAGGAGGCTGTCGCATCCATTGATGTGGGTGGAAAATTGATGTCTATGGAGGAAGGGTCAAGGATGCATGTTGGTACAGCCGAAAAGCAAAGTGCAACGGAAGGACGGACCTGGATGCGGAAAAGGTTGCACGGTTTTGTAAATAAAAGGGGAAATGGAAATAATGAATGTTTATAAAGCGACGCTTGCGTAGTGCACAAAATCGAGATTGGATTCGCAACGCATCGCGACGGCGCTTTCACCAATAGCGAAGCCAGGCGAACGAGCCGATTCCTGCAGACCCGTGCAATCCTGATTTAACTTGGCCCAGTCAGTTGGTTGGGCTCCGACTGTCCTGAACAGCAGCAGCAGCAGTTCCGAGTGTGCAGTGCGCTCATCTAGCTCGGCTCGGTCTTCCGACTGTAATTCGAAAACACTTCTCAATCGCTCCAAAAACATACTAGAACTTATCAGTGTCTTCAAAGAACAAGGATCAAAGAAACATCGAAATCAGGAAACGGACTAAAATGATCACCGTCCAATAGGAGTCTGCAGGATCATGTCGCTCGAACTCTGGTGAGTGACCCTACAAATTATCAATAAATATCCACTCAATTTGTTGATCCTAGCATTAACAAACTGCAAGTTCCTTTGTTTGTTTGTTTATCGTGCGTTAACAGATGGAACACGGATAAAAAGGGAAATGAAAATGCACAAAATCAATAAACATAGTTTGCCAATGTAAAGAACAGGAGGCGCTAAACAATAAAATTTGAATTCGCGCTCCGCTCGCATCGCGCGCCGCATCGACGAATCTTCTCTGCCACTATGATTCAATAATCGTCCCAATTTGTCCTATTTAAAGATTCATTCGCATCCGAAAGACCAGTTGTTGTATTTTTATACGGCGTCGTATAAATAATGCGACCGAGCGCAAACTGGAAAATGGACATTGTCTTCCCTTTGTCCTACTCTGCGAACTGCAATCGCTCCTCCTCATTACGGACGTCGCTCGCATTTTAATTAATACGTTGATAAAGGTGCAGAGAGCTTTCGCCGCAATTGACGGGACAAAAAGCTCGTCGTCGGGATGTTCCTGCTGGAATGGAAAACATTGCGAAAACCCGTTTATAATTAGCACAAAAGGCAATAAAAGTTCGCATTACGTTTTTCGTTTTTTCCGAGCGAAACAGCCTTTGTTTCCAATTCCTATTTACCGAAGGTAATTACTCATATGTAGGATCCATTTGTAGTGTGTTCTTATTCATACGTTGTTACCATTCTGACAAACTCTCAATTCCCAAAGCTAATATACCTATCCCTATTTCTATTCTCTTTGTTTTTAATAGAAATTTTGTTTTCTCTTACAAATCAATATAAAATCGAATTAAAACGTTAATTTAAACAGTATCCAAACTACATTATTTTTGAGTAAATGAAAATGAGAGAATCAATTTGTTACACTAATTTTAACAACAATAACACACTCATAAGTTATAACAGAAGCAACTAGAGAAAACTTTATAATATAACTAATATTAATAATTTAAATCTAAAAAGTTTGCACTAAAGTAAAGGAAATTAATTTATTTGTATTTAGGACTTTTTAAGGCAAATTGATTGATTTTATTAAAAAATAATTGAAGATAGATGACTAATTATTTTTTATTTGAACGAAAATTTTATAATTATTTTTTCTATTAATAATTAAACTGTATAAAAAGTATATTTAATATTATTCTTATAAATACTGTTTATTATTCTATCAATATTAACGAAATGGAATATACAGATATTCCTTTGTCCAAGTTAATAAAAGCTATAACTGAGGTCGTGACCAATGTGTTTATACGTTTCTTTTTTTTTTATTCGAACGTTACAATATTTCAAGTTGGAATGAAAAGAGAGTCTCTGGAATGAATATTTACGGTGTAAATTTCCGTTCCCAAATGGTGGACAACGTACAAAACGTTTGTGCGGACGTTAAGATCGAGATTAGTGAATCGTATATCAATGAGTGAAAATGTGGTCGCCTTCGTCGACAAGGCTTAAATAACTCAGCTTTGGTGGAGACACGAAAGCCCGAAAAGAAGACATTTTATGGACATCTATTTTACACACAGTTAAGTCCAGACTCTTAAGTTTGTTATTTAAAGACGTAAACATGAATTATTTTCTAGCGAAGCTAATAAATTAGATTTATAAAATAATATCTAGTAAACATACGTATTTTTGCTTCAATTTTATCAACTTTTTTTTCTAATTTGCTATTGAAGAAAATATCAACACAGATTTTCTTCGTTGAAAATTGTTTTTTTTTAACAAAAAATTATATTAAAATTTAGGATAAATAATATACAAATATTTGAAATTGAAATATTTTCATAAATTTTATATTTTCTGAAAATTTATTGAAATGTTAATGTAATTTTTCAATCAGAAAAATTAAGTGATTCAATGATGTTAATATTGATTATTTGTAAATAAAGTTCGCACATTGTTGGACAGCGAAGTAAAATTTTCTCTTCCAGACCATTGCTTTTTAATCCAATTCCGTTCACGAGCTTGACTATCCCATTTACAAATAAAACATGGTAATTTTATACAAGCAGATTGCGGACCTAACAGCTTCACATTCGCAAAATTGATTTTATTAAGAAAATTCCATCAACAAAGTTTTTACTTTTTTTCTGCATTCCCTACAAGAAACTTTCTTTATATCCTTTAAATTAGTACTTATAACTTTATTTTTTAAAATCAAAACTATATTTAATCTAACCTTCTACTTTTTTTTTTAAAAGGTGACTTAATTAAGATTGTAATTCTTTAAGGAATTTTTCGCTTTTACATCGTGCCATAATGTTGATGCGCATTTTCTAATAAATAGAAAAGAGAAAATACCGGTAAAGGGAAAATCGATTGAAATTGCAGGAATAAAAAGTTCGCAACAATAAGTCTTGTGAAACGTAATCGAAACCGTTGCACAAATCAAACACACTCACAGAAAAGTTGTTAAATCTTTTGCAGCAAAACTAGTAGTTAACTTCTACCAGACTGTACATAAACTGCAGTTATTTATATATATTTTTTAACTAAATAAAAGTCAATTGCAATGTGCACAATACATTACGTAATAAACGAAATTTCAATTTGTTGTTTCTACTATTGACTTAATCACATCTATATAAATTATTGAGAATTTTAAACTGAATATGAAATTTTGTTGTTTATTTATGTTCAGAACATTGAACGCAAATTTATTTATTTACACCTGATGAATCTGCGATTATTTAGCGAAATATTAGTAAATGTATTAGTAAATTTTATTGATGTTTAGATTAGATTCATAATGAATCGGAGAAGTTTTTTTTTAGTTTGAAAACTAGGCGCACTCGGAATACGTGTCAATGGGTTCCAATAGGAACTCCATGAAAGTGGGCATCTGGTAACATTATTTATAGTAAATACCCCACATAGCGCTACCACTTCTTGTATCTCTCTTTAACTCTTGTGATTTATTTGTTTCGATGTATACGTTTTATTGTTAAATTGATTTAGAGAAAATGAAACAGTTTAAGCATTTAAATTCCATCCGAACTACTAAGTTCAACAAAATGCACTTGTATAATCATCCGTGTTGTAAACACGAGATTTAAATAATGAGGAATTGAAAGAGCTAATGAACTTCTCGAATAGAACAGTAAACAATAAAAAAGAACACGGAGCAAAGGAGAACCAAGAGCAGAGCTGTGTCGATGAAAGAAACGATTAAGTTCATATAAATATTCATATATATATATAAATATAAGATGTTTTTCTTGTTTATTTATTTGTTTGTGTGTGAACGAGATGAGCGAACTAGAAAACGGTATTCGAGATGAAAGCAGAAACCGAATAAAGATTGCTCGTGCTTTTTGACCATCAACCCAATTTTATCTAAAATTATGTTCGTATGCATATTGGTGTTAATGGCTTTGGCATACGAAAAAGCCGACCGGTTATGAGAAATGCAGTTTCCATGCAGATTCCCAAAAAAAGTAACGAAAATTAATTGATGTGGATTCGTCCACTTTCGTTTAAAATTTCACTGGAGTAAATCGAGTAATAATAAAATGAAATACAGCCACTTTCAGGTTGGACACACGTCTCTCGTTAGCTAGGCACTCGTCTTTTTCGGTAATTTACACTGGTTTTTATTGTCTTGACCAAACTAGTCCCATCTTCTCGGTATTTTTATTTTCCTCTTCTTCCTCGTCATCTCCGTTTCAAGCTGTTTAGTATATATTACATGTGCTTGTGCTTTAATGTCTTGGATCCGAGAAACCTTAAACTCAAATTGTTGTCTTAATCTTATTAGCAGTTTACTCGACGTTCGGTCTTTATTTGCAATTTTATGTACTTTTTGAACAAATAAAATGCACATTAATTATAACGTATTTATAGCTGTAATGTTTAAACAAAGATGTATTCAGTAAATTTAGAAATTTTTCTGCGTAACTTTGCTACTTATTTTCATATAACCATTTAAAAATTTAACGAAATAGAGCTAATTTTTGATTTGTTACAAAATCCTATTGAAAACATACTTCATTTGTATCAAAATAATATATTTTTTTCTATTATAAAATATTAATTTTAACAATTAGAATTGCATTTGTACATTTATAATACAAATGTTCTTATTTATTCAAATAACACTTGTTATTGAATTCACTTCTTTCAAGTTGTTATGCAACATAAATGATAATTCGATGTGTGTTGACATGCTTTGTTATCGGAAACAAGCTGACTATTAGATATGGAATTATCTAATTTCGTGCTCTCGATAATTTTAATAATTGATACTTGTATACATTTTTCTTATATTTAAATCTTCATTTGCTTAAAAATGAAAAAAGAAGTACATTTTAATTCATATAATTGACTTACTGATGGACTTCTTAAAATCGTCCTTGACTTACTAAAAAACTAGTATATGTTAAATTTAATTAACTGTATTGTTCAATTTAGTAAATGTATTACGTTTTGACTTAAGATTTAAATCTTTTATATTTCAGTTATTTAATATATGTTGACAAATATTTATTTTATATATAAAAAAAAAACAAAGAAAAACATTTTTTTTTTGTTATTTAAAATAATGCAACAATAATTGTTGATATTCATTTGTTTCGGTTATGAAATATTCACACGTACACAAGAAAAACTTAATGTTCATTTAAGTGAAATGTACTTGAACATTATAATTCTTGATTGTATTTAAGTGATTTTTAAATTAAATATTTATTTAATGATGCATTGCAATAAATGTACGTTTCCAACAATTTGCAATAATCTGAATATAATAAACTAAAATTACATTAAGTTGTTTAATTTGCATCCTCACTATAAAATGTGATAATTTATAGTTTCCATTTGTTAGTTAGATACATGTTAACAGAATGTTTGTTGGCTTTTTAAATTATTCAAAGTTGAAATAAATATAAAATTCTTAAAGCCCAAAATTTAGAAAATTCGGTGACAAAGAAATGTAATTAGGATAAAAGTGAAATTATTTATTTAAAAACGAATTGTTG